ACAATATAGGGAGAAGGTTGTTTACCGCCTACGACTCGCTCTCGTAGTCGCTACGTCGTAAAGGCGTATCGGCTAGATTTCGTTTACTAGCCCGATATTTAATAGTAAAGTCGAAAGGTGCAAAGAAGGTCGCCTACCTTGCCTGCTTTCCGACGAGCTACTTTATCTTTATAAAGCCTTTAAGATTAGCGTAGTCGACAACTACGTAGGTCGTATACTAAGCGCTATCGAGGTATAGGCGCTAATACTTAAAGGACTCGATAACCGCTAGGAGCTCCTAGTTATAGGTCTTATAATTCGTCTTAGCTAGGACTATTTTTCGTAACTAGAAGGCAATAGGGTACTAATTCCTATCTTCGCTCTATTGTAATATAATTCCTACTAAGGCAAACGCAGAGATATCGGTCTCGATACGTAGGGGCTTCGTAGAATTATAGTATCGCAATATCGAGGCCGAGCTAAAAGTAGCCTTTAGCTAGCAGAACGCTTGCTCCTCGCTTTCGCCCTACGGGACCTGCCCTAGCTTTTAGCTATTTACGGCTCCTTTCGATAGGGCGGTTAGTAGTATAACGATCCGGGAGTAATTTAGAATAAACCTCTAATAGAAGTTATAGAATCTAAGGAAGGATTAAACCTCCTTTAGCGTTAATAGGCGAGGCCACTCGGTAATAGCGTTTACCCTACGCTAATCTATCGATATACCTTCGGTACTAACGATAAACCCGAGGAATTCGACTTCTTTCTTCTAGAAGGAACATTTCTTTCTGTTCGTATATAAGGCGAACTTCTAGAGCCGCGTAAGGATAGCGCGTACGTCTCGTACGTAGTCCTCTCGCATTTTGCTATAAATAAGAATATCGTTAAGGTAGACGATATAGCAAATATTAACAAGGCTAGCTAACGCCCTATTAATGTATCCTTAAAACGTAGTAGGAGTATTAGTAAGCCTAAAAGGCATTACCTTATACTCGAAGTGCCCGTACTGCGTATAGAACGCAGTCTTCTACTCGTCGCCTCGCTTAATGCGGATGCGGTAATATATATCCTAAAGGTCTAAGGACGTATACTATTCGGCGTCCTTAAGCCTATTAAGCGTTTCGCTAATAAGAGGCAGGGGGTAACGATTTTTAATAGTAATCTCGTTTAGCCCCCTATAATCGACGTAGAGTCTTAGACTACTATCCTTCTTTAGTACGAATAGGATCGGCGTACCTGCCTCGCTTATACTAAGCTAGATCTAATTATTCTCTAAGGCTAAGCTTAGATAATTTCGAAGGTCGCTAAGCTTTCTTCCTAAAGAATAGTAGAGAGGTTTGTATAGCGGCTTCGTTCCGGGGATTAGGTTAATCGTATACTCTACGTCTTCGGGGAGCTTGCGTCTCGCTTCGGGCGTTATTATAAAAACGTTTTCGAAGTCTTTAAATTCTTCTAGTAAGGAGGAACCTTTAGCGATGTCGCGGAGCTAGCGAACGCTAATCGTATATACGTATAGGGCGTTACGCATATCCTTCTAGAATTCCTATAGTTCCCGTATACGTATCGAACGCGCTACGGCTTCGTTCCTATAAGTCTAGGTATCCGTCGAGCTATCGACGATTACCTTTTAATCGCGCCTCTAAGGCCTACTAAGAATAATATTAGGGAGGGGCATCTCGAAAGCGTAGAACACTCTAGTAGTAATACGTTCTTAGCCTATAGAGTCGGCGATCCGTAAGCGTAAATAATGCGCTCCGTAGTAGTATCCTCGGTCGCCCTAGAAACTGTCGGCACTAGGTAGCACGGCGTTAACAATCCGCTAAGGCTAGTATCGTAGAACGAATTCTTAAAATACTATATTAATATTAGCAGTATTATCTAATAAGCATTCGACGGACACTTCCCCTTCTTATGTAACGATTGCTCCGCGTACGCGTCCCGTAGGTACTACTACTACTAAGCTACTTAGTTAAGATTCCGTACCTATCCCTAGCTCTTAGGAGGTGCCTTATCTTTTCCCTTAGCCTTCGAGTCGTTCTTCTTCTTTTTAGCGTTAGCGGCGACCTTACGTACTATAGGGTTGTCGTCTTTCTAGAGATAGCGGTTCGGGCACGCGTTCTTATAATAGCCTTTCTAGCGATAGCTATAATATTCGACCTTACTAATATTATACCCGCCTTACGAGTTATCGCCCTTCGTATACTTTCCGCCTATGCTACGGTCGCGATTTAACTGCTACTTGCGGGCCTAACTATTAAATCGACGCTTCTTACCTTTACTGCCTCCGGTTTTATCGTAGTTACGATCCTTACGTTTGCTAGACGGCTTGTTAGGGGTCTCGATACGCGTCGCAAGCTCTACGAGTTCGTAACGCGTCGTTAGCACTATATAGTATTTAATAATTGCGCTACGAATCGCCGGCTAGAGTTTAACGAGGAGATAGCGGATCCTATACTCCTCGCTATAGTCGCTAAGTTAATCTTCGAGCACTGCGAGCTTAAGGGCAAAGCTTTAGACTAACTGTCCCTTACGCTAACGGGCCGCCTTATACTCGAGGGTTACGTCTAGTATACGGTTTATAGGGTCCCTAACGCAGTCCTAATAGAAGGTTTTAAAGTCCTAGTAGGTATAATTTTATAGGTCCTTAAGGCTGTTTTTATTATACTATCGCTCCTATATATCGCCTGCGAGGTATATAACACTATAAAGCACCTTGCTTTCGTCCGTATAATAGGTAGCTCTAGACAGTATAAAGGTAATAGAAAGTTCTCTAAGGAATCGCCTCGACTCCTTAATCGTATCGCCTTTAAAGGGCTTAGGTTCCTTTAGGCGAGGCTTAATAGCCGTAAGACTAGCGACTGCGTAGCTTATACTAGGCATAGTAGCTACGCTTAGCGTACTTCTAGAAAGAGGTAGTCGATACGAGATAGATTTAGCTCTCTAAGATTTAGGCCTCTAAATCGACTCGTTAGCTAATTCTTCCTCGTCCTCGTCCTCGTCTAGAGATAGGGTCCTCGTAGGACCCTCGCCGGCAGTACCGCTACTCGGAGCTAGCGTATCGCCTACGTCCCTAAGGGTACGAAGACGCGCATTCTCTCGCTTAGCTTCTTAAGCCTAGACTTCTAGCCTAAGCACTTCTTACTTAGCTAGAAATCGTTCGAGCCGTAGGCAGGTCGCTTCTTAGCGCGCCTAATATTCGGCTTTGTTTTGTTATGTCGCCGCGTCGTTTTCTAATACTATAGGCGCTCCTAATATATTATTCTACGCGTTTCCCGCGCCCGGCGCGTTCGGATCGCTTGCGTTTATCTTTCGGGGTTCTATAGGCTGCTACGAAGGGTAGACAGTTTAGAACTATAAGAAAATAGGTATATAGCAACGTATAGAATACCCTCTACTAATCGCCGTAGTAGAAAGTAGAACTAAACCGTGCCTTTTTCAGAATAGGGCAGAGTGTTTACTATTAACTAGGCTACGTACGGATAGTATATATACCGAGCTAGCAACCGAGTATATCCGTATAAGCGACCGAGCTTTTCCGCGTATACGCTAAGCAGGCTTTGCGCTAGCGAGACAGTACCGCAGTATACGTAATAACATTATATAATTGTTATATAGGCTTGCTAAGACATAATAGGAGACTTTACTTGCTTAGGTTCTTACACTATAACCGGTATTCTTACTATTCGTATATTCGAGAAGCACTAGCGAGTACTACGGAGCGATTATAATAGCAACGAGACAACTACTTACTATACCTTAGAGCTACTTAAGCGGATTAATAAGCGGCTTAGTCGTACGACTCGGCGTAAGGCTACTAGACCTAAGCTAATTAAATAGGCCGCTAGATAGGCCGCTAGATAGGCCGCTAGACAGGCCGCTAGATAGGCCGCTATTAACTAGTAAGAAGCGATAAGATAGGCCGAGCCTAGGAGGCCTATTCTACCGCTACTAGTACTACGAGAACGTTTACGTAAGGGCTATATATATAAAACGGCCTATAGGAGGTATAAGTACGTTAAAGATAACGTAGACTACTACTCTAGCTATTATAAGTATAGGTAGTACGATAGAAACCCTATATCTACTTATTTACCTACTTAGGAAGGACCTCCGCTCGCTCCGAGGGCTCTACTAGTACCTATAGCGCTAGTAGTAATACTAGAATATACTAAGATTGTATAGTAGGAGCTATACGTTAATACGAGGGTCGTAGAACCTTATTTACTAGGCAGGCAGTATACCTAGAATAGTTAGGATTAGCTATATTGTCTAGTTCTATATCTATTATTTACTTAGTTCCTCTTTCTTACGTTATAATTCTATTTAGCGCTAACGAGAGCACTAGAGGCCTCTATTGCGATATTCTATAGTGTAGATTACTAGCAATATAGTCTCACCGAGGCCGGAGCCGGCTCTCGGTCCGCGGTCTACGAATAACCAGGGCAGGTTTATGAATAGTCACGCCTTGGTCCACTTCCACTTCCACCGGCATCTACCTTCACCATGTCGAGCATGCTTTAATCCAGCCACCGCCAGAACACACTTTGGCCCGGCATGCAGTCAGTAGTGTGACAGTTGTGACTCAAGTCGGCGCTCTCAACAATCAATGCCGGCCATGCATCAGGCATTGCACGTTCTAACCGGCATCAAAGCTGGTCATCGGCACGAGCTCAGCTTGTTACTGGAGGGAGAAATCGCTCCATGCAGACTCCGCAATCCGCATTCGCACGCCGCAGAGCTGTGTCTTATCGCACGTCAGGCTAAACTGCATCTTGTTGACCAAATTCACTTCGTTTGTGTCACCGCTATGTACAACATACGAACCATCTCTATGAGTCGATATGAGTGGTCCTGCATGCGATTGAAAGCTCGCCTAGCGACGCAGCAATATCGGGTAGCAGCGGCTACCGGCGTTCATGTCCTTTGGTACTTCTCGCCATGTAAATGCAGCGCCTCGATCTCATAATTGAAGTTCAGGTAACAGCTTCATTGCTCATCTCATCTCGCTGCTGCCTGTGGTGTCCATGGCGTGTACTTGTTCTTGGTTCTGTGAACATGTGGTGTGAACATCGCCTAGCCCTGCGTGAAATGACCGAAATTGAGACAAGACTTACGTATTGAAAGTCTTGAAGGCACTCCGTGATGCGGTCAGAACTGGGACGTGCTTCTTTGGCTCCCACGGCCGAACCTGGCGTTGAAGTAGCGTGTCCTCTGCCGGGGACTTGTCGACCATGTACGACATCCATGCGTGCCTGTAGTAGTCAAGTCGTGAGCACCTATTAGCATATTGAGTGCTTGACATGGCGTCTCACCATCCTGGCTCAGTCTGTGACCTATTCTGTGTCAGCAAAGCCCCCAAAGACCTTCGTGGTGTCCTTACGGGTCGAATTCATGGTCTTTGTAATCCACCCATCGCGTTCGCACTGCTCAAAATTTAGTCCATGATCTGGACAAGCCACAAACCCCTTCATCTTCACATACGTGGCAGTTCCTCTTCCAGATTCTCAAAGTACTTATTGCCGTAGCGATCTATGCCAACAAGAGCACCGCGCTTTGTATCACCTATGCCCATTCAGCCCCTGTCTTAAGCCATACATCTCTTATGCTCGGTCCTCGTCTATACCAATATACTGTAGAGAATCTCGGAAGTCAGTCATGATCTAGGCGCATCGCAACTCGGGGCATCGATGTTCGAAGACGTACGTGAAGCTGGTGGCCATATTCCTGCAAACGGTTAGCATTGGATATGTGGTGTAGACACAGCTTAGATCACCTTCAAGCCAATACTCCGCAAGTTGCGAATGGTCCTCATTATTGTCGACATGGCTGTAGATGTGGTCTTGCGACTCAATGGCACAGCGCAAGTGGTGCATGCGCTTCTGAATGTCACTTCAAACACGATCGGAGGATCGTTACATGCTTCCCGATTGGCTGGACGGGGACGGAAACTAGCTAAGGTCCTCTAACCGCCCGAGGGCCGCAACGAAACGAGCATCAACAACTTCTCCTTCCTCTTCACACTTCGCATCATGATACACAAATGATCACGCGACGAGTCTCTCCCCTTGTGAGGCTCTCAGTGCAATCAAAGCCAAATCGTCAGCTTTGCAGACAGAGCTACATTCAGCGTTGTCATGCAAGTACCACCACAGCGGCGGCGACGCCAGCATCAACCCAGTCTTCGGCATCCCAACTCGCGGTGATAACAGGAGAGTTGGACAAATTGTCCCCTCGCTTCGAGGTCTCCGCAGACTCTATTCAGATCTTGAAGACCCCCACCTACTTTTACGAGACCCTCAAGGTACTCTCCTCCACCATTCCGTACTTGGCGATGATCCTTGACGCAGGCTGATTAGAACGAAGTAGAACAAGATCAGAACCGCCCAAAGGCGTGTGTACCTATCTACTCTGTACATAGGCAAAAGCGAACATGAGCTTGTATGTGTAGACCTATCACTTAGCATCGCTCATCGTTCACTGCTGATCAGGCCAAGATCGATACCATACGAGAAGCGCTCAAAGCAAATCCGCAACTGAAAGTTTCGCTGCTTACAGACTATCTCCGAGGCACGCGAGAAGCGCCAGAGCCATCATGCGCAAGCCTTCTTGCTTCGCTGATCCATGACTTTGGCAATGATCGGATAGAAGTCCGCATGTACCACACTCCGAACCTGACAGGCACTCGCAAGAAAGTCTTACCGAAACGGATCAACGAAGGATGGGGCTTGCAGCACATGAAGCTGTATGGCATCGACGACGAGATTATCATGTCTGGAGCCAATCTCTCAAACGATTACTTCACCAATCGGCAAGACCGGTATCACGTTTTCAAGTCCAAAGCAATCACCGACTACTTCTCAGGCCTGTACCGGACGATATGCGATCTAAGCTATCGGGTTCTACCGTCGGAAAAGGAGCAAAGTGGTTTCGTCATGGAATGGCCCGAATCCAATATCCAACCGCAACCGTTGGCCGACCCGAAAGGTTACATTAAGGCTGCAACAAAAGTGCTGAAACCACTAATCGAGCCGCCAAGAAGTACCGTGGCTCACTCCGATGCAGACACTCATGTCTATCCTCTAGTCCAACTGACACCGCTTCTGAGACCCGACACTTCGACTGAGCTCCCTGCTCTGACACGCATTCTCCGCATTCTTGGAAGCCCAGAGTTTGCTGGTTCAAAATGGACGTTCACAGCGGGCTACTTCAATATGACACCAGAAGTGCGTGAGTTGCTGCTCAAAACCAGGCCAGCGTCAGCTACAGTAGTTGCTGCATCTCCTTGGGCGAACGGTTTCTACGGTAGCAAAGGTATCAGCGGCATGCTACCTGCAGCATACACTTTACTCTCTCGAAGATTTCTGAACGCGGTATCCCGAACAGGCCAGAGCAAGCAGATCTCAGTCAAAGAATGGCGGAAAGGCACTGTCAACGAACCAGGCGGCTGGACCTATCACGCCAAAGGCATCTGGGTGACCCTGCCTGGCGACACGAGCCCAAGTGTCAGCCTGATAGGAAGCTCAAATTACACAAAGCGAAGCTATTCTCTGGATCTCGAAGCGAATACACTGATAGTGACTCGCAATCCAGATCTCCAAAGACGACTCGGAGCTGAGGAGAACTGGTTACAAGAGCATGCGACACCCATGACTCAGGACGACTATGCCAGGACGGAAAGAAGAGTAGGCTTGCATGTAAGATTAGCCATGTGGATTGTAACATTAGTTGGAGGAGCATTATAGATCGGAGCTGAACACGATACCCAAGTAAATACCGTACCTGTGCAAACCCAATTTTCCTCGATGAAGCTAGTGCTTCTTCATAGAACGTTGGCATGAGGTGCCGCTATCTGATCTACCTCACCCCTGCAACGGCGTTTCCCCAAGCTGTTGCCTGCTGAAGAAGTCGTTGAATCTCGATACCATTACTTCCCCGACGAGACTTCCCGAACTAAGGCTCGCTAACGTGCATCTTGCATGTTCCGTTGCGGAGCTATTACCGTGAAAAGTCCATGCCTTCCAGTTCCAGGTTCTGCTTGCTGACCGACATCTGCTAGTTCGATGGGCTCCCATGACCTTGATCCCTGCCACTGCTGCCGAAACTCGGGCCGTTTGCAGCATTCTCGGCACCGGTGTGCAGACCGAGAGCGGTATTCATCTTTACCGTGAGCTCTTGAATGGAACTTTCGAAATTCTTCTCGAGGTTCTTGAAGTCGGCTTTGAGCTTCTGGTTTTCCTTCTCAGTAGCATCGAGGCGTTTGGCGAGAGCGATGAGAGGTTCGTAGGTCATGGCCGGGAGGGTCTTGATCATGTTTTCTACGCCTTGGTATAGACGCAAGGCTTGGTCTGGTGGTAGGTCATTTTCGTTGAAGGTCAGAGATTTCTGGTTGCCTCGTGCTAAACTGCGGGCTTGGGAACCAAAGAGGCCGATTGCACGCTGACCACCAGTTGGCGGTGTGAAGGGTGCAGTTGATGGAGTTGCTCGGGAGGAGGCTTCTAGAGCTTTTCTGGGTGTCGAGAAGCCGGCCTCGAGGGTGGCCTTCGTTCTCTTCGTCGGCGTGGGTTCTGGAGTGCCTGGGAACTTCCGCTTCAGGGCGGCGTCCTGTGACATAGCAGCAGGAGGAGTCTGGCCCGGGGTCATGATATCTCGAAGGGTGTTGGAATCGTTCCTGGCTTGTGATGATGAGTCTGACTTGGTGTGTGAAAGATCTGCAGTGTTGTAAGGTGTAAACAAAGTCCGTTGCTTGGTCTGTGCCGTGGCAACCGTCTCAAGTCGTGATGGTGACGGTGATGGAGGCGACTGCTGGCTGAAATAGTATTGCCCACTGTCACATTCACTTCCAATGATCCGATCACCAGCATATGTACTCCTGTATTGCTTCTGCCCAGCTTGTGACGAGACAGCCGACGGTCTGGCGCCATCTCTCGATTCACGACTTGCCACATCCGCCGTAGCATCATTGTTGGTTCGTGGCCGACGCCTACGACTCGACTGCTGCTGTCCACTGCAGTCATCGCAAAGATATCCTCCATTGGTCCCGATAATGCTTTTCGAACACAGTCTGAAGCTCTCATAACAGCTGTCGCAGATCGTCACGCTGGCATCAGATGAACGACCGATGACATCTGACGGACTGCTTGCAAGTGATGATTCTGAGCCTCTCACATTCCTCGTAGAAGAATCATACGAGCTCATTGTGGCCCAAATGTCGCGGAGTAATGTAGCGATCTGATTCTGCAACGCGCGGGCACGGCTCATGTTGGAAGGTGAGGCATTGTCGGAAGGAGGTTGAGAAGCCTGTCCTTCTCATGCTACAATAGACTGGGGCCTTGTCGTCAAGGCGGCGAGAAGCAATTTTAGCGAATCTAAATTCAGCAAAGAGGGAAGGTGCTGTCGTCAAAATCTGGCATGCATGGCAATCACGCCGGCCAAAGAAATGCGCTGCATCGATACACAACCAGAATCAGAACACCTTTCTGCCACGTACTGCAGACTCATTCTCCTGTCTTAGTTTCTATCTGTATCAGCAAGGAACAAAAGCGAAAGAGTTGCAAACGACCCCATACCGTCTGTGTGGCACCAGCAGCACCGTGCTCACTTGGGAACACGCTAAAATTTTAGCGCAACGGCTCCAGACTTGATTAATTACCAGCTCAAGCTCACTTTGAACATCGTCGGAGCGACACTGCAACAACCGCCTCGTCGACAACACGATGAAGAATCTCGCGGTGCTCGTTGCCTTGCTAGGTGGCATCGCTGCCATGCCGACAATTGACTTAGTAAGTCTTGTCCTCTCACCTCACTGGCCTTCAGCTGATACTTGTCAGAGCAACAGCATTGCTTTCCCGAACAAGATACTACAAGCCGGAAACATCACTTGCACTCAAGATGAGATCCCAATCGAAATTGACACAGCCGCTGATGTCGCGACGCATTTCAACCAATTCTGCCACTCGACAAAGTTTCCTGCTTCTCTTGCCAGAGGCGCTTCTCTCATGGAGAGCTATGAGATCGGTATCGCGGGCAAATTTGCTTTCTTTGGCGGTAAGTCATGCTTTGAATCCCTCGTGTGGCGTGAGCTCAAGTTGTGCAGTCGAAAATCTCTGGTGCGACGATTCATTCGAGATTACCTCGGAGTTTTGCTCATCCACATTCGAAGACATAACAACCACGTGCCAGAAGGATAAGGATTTGCCAGTCGGCTTCCTGGGAGCTGGTATCTCGGAGTTCACCTGCGGGCGCATTGGGTTCGACGTAAGTTTCCAGCAACAGCATCGTTCAGTATGTGTAACAGATGGACTGACATTCCTTCTGTGGTACAGCCAAGCTTGAGCAAGCCTACATCCGGTAAAGCTGCTCTTGACTCTTTCCACGGACTTAGCAAGCGCAATGCTAGCATCACGTCCTGCCAAGGCTGTCCGCAGTGCACTTCTCCCACGTCTTCGTGTCGACCACCGAATTGGATGAGTTGCTCGGACGAGGAGAGAGCTTGTCTGCTCGGTAATGCTTGCGAATACGCAACTTGCTTGATGGCCGGCTTTTGCCTTGGCTGTTCCTGAAGAAAGGTCTGAGACATGAGGTCATGTATGGAGTTCACGACGGAGTGATGGCTGTAGGATTGCACCTGTGGAGTGGTCGAATCGCGACTGCAGGATACCGAGCATTAGAAAGTCGAAAATAACGAAGTTGACCTTCGTACCATGCATGCTTCATGCTCGACCGTCGTTCGTGCCGTCTTTGCGAAGGCCCGCGGCCGCATTTCAAAGGGTCCGTGCGGCCATGTGGCTATGCCAATGGCACCTGCATTATTGAGGTGAGGCGCACCTTCTTGCTGATGCCATGCTGTAAGCTGCACGCACTGTCAGAACCGAATGTGAAGTTGAACAATGAACCGCAACTTCCGCTTTTGACAATAGCGAGCCGCTGCCATTGTTCGAATGGTATGAGCGTCTTCGAAAGCTCTTTCTTTCTTTGGTAGCTTTTCCACTTCGAGAACTTACTGAACACCTCCTCACAATATCCAGAAGCGTACTGACGGCGCTGGATCGCCGCTCACCAACACAACATGAACAGCTCACCAAACCCAGAATCGCGTCTGGCCATGGAACCAAGATGGCCTCTGGGCATGCCGACAGCCGCCGCAAACGGATCGATGCAGGTTCCAGCGCATCAAGACCCGTACGCCAGATTGCAGAAGACATTCACACCCACATACGAGAAAGCGCCGGCCCGCATCAGATCAGGACCAAATGTGTACCCGCCGCCGCAACTGTTACCACAGCCTTTGCATCCAGCCGCGCATGCCCCATCTGCACAATTCCAAGCTGTGCCAGGTCCTCAGCAACGTTTTTACAATCCTCCAAGTTATGCATATCCGCCTGCTCCAGCGCCAAGATGGCCACAGCCACAGAACGCGCATTACGAGCCGCTAGGCTACATCAGCTATGACCGCCAGCATCAGCAAAGCATCCAAGACCATGCTCCTAGATATGATCAAGTTGCGCCAAGAAGTGTCGAAATAGCTCAGCCCAGCCCATCACCAAGAGATCCTGTAACAAGACACGGATCAGCTCGATTTTTCAAACATGAGACACTACCTCACTACCGTCCTCAGAACATACCCCATTTGGAGACACAGGCAGCTCTGTCGAGTTTTTCCGCCTCAGTAAGACGACCAGGCAAGAGCCATCATTCTCCGCAGGCCGTGCCAGCAGTGCAGGTAGGGTGCGAAGAACCAAAGAGTAGCTCCCCGAAGACAGTAGAGCGACTAGGCAAAAGCCAACGTTCCCCGCAGACCTTGCCAGGAGTGCAGGCAGGTTGCAAAGAACCAAAGAGTAGCTCCACGAAGAAGAGGAAGCTCATCATCAAGCCTCCCAAGCGCCCACTTGAGGAAAGTGGCTCTAACAGCATCAGGGCAGCCAAGCGGCCACGTGTAGAGGGCGAATCCTCCCCATCTCGCCCGGGCGCCGACAACAGCTGCATGCAGGAGCCCGTCGGCAATGGAGCAACTCCCGAATCAAACGCAGCCTCACCTGATTGTCACCAGCCACAGGAAGCACCACAACCAAGGCCCAGCACGCCTCAAGGGGGAGCAAAGAGAAATTCACACGAAGATTTTAGGCGTGAAAGTGCCAGCAGTGATGAGGCCCAAGGTTCAGAAAGTACAGCAAGTGTTGGTGATTCGGGCTCAACAATCACTCCAGATACTTCGCCAGAGGACATGGCCCGAAGTAGACACATGCCCACGCCGCCTTCTGAGAAAGAAGATGACACGCGGAAGACCCCACGCATCAGCCAAGACCACAGCGATTTGCAATTCTCTCCAAGGCTGTACGGTCGTGAACAGCCAAAGCGTGCCGCTACAAAGAAGTACCAAGATGTCGCAACGCCACCGAAAGCCAAGAAAGTTTTCAAGACAATTCCACGAGACCGAGAAAGCGCATCCGATGTCGTGGAAGTGCAATTGGACGGCGTCTCTGACGTGCAGGCAGTCGAGACCGGAGTCGCAAAGAAGCGACCAGCAGGAGACCATAAGAGCAGCACCGCGAAGCGAGCCAAGTACGACCTAAACTCCCAAAAACCTTCGCTGCAGGACAGACTGCGACCAGCAACTCGATCGCATTCGACATCCAAGGTGGATCCACCAAAGCAGTCAAATCCAGCATCAAGCCCAGAAACGCATCCCTCAAGGCCACCGGTGTACGACCAGCGTGGCACGCGTGCACCAGTGCGTGACAAGCATAGCGCCGACCGGTACGTCGAGGCTGTGATCAGATCTTGTGAGGCGCGTTTGGCCAATGCACGGACTCAAACAGTGCATACCAGTTCCGCTCATCGTATTGTCGAACTGTTGAGAAAGGCAGAATTTGCCTCCGAGCGAGAAGCGAAATTTCTGTCAAGAGATGAAGCTCAGGTGGAGACTTCGGCCAACGAGTTTTTCAATGGTCCGATCGTGACCGAAGGGCAACAGACATTGCCCTTGCAATCTGTCGAGCAGTTTTTGGGAGAGTACTACGAGCCAAATGCCAAAATCCACATCCAGGATAGTTCTGTCAAGGTTGCTAAGAGCTTCATTGCAGTGCGACCTGTGCGTGTTGAGCAGGTCAAGGAGCGTCTTCTGGAGACCCAGACCGAGCCTGAACAATTGCCCTGGAATTGCCTTGAGCTTGCCACTCATCACTCTGATGGCTTGAGGCCGAGCTTTTTGCAGAATGAAGACTGCCGGCTCCTCACCAAACTGAAGATTCCAGATTCGGCAGACGAAGCCCGCCGGAAGACGTATGAACAAGGCTACAAAGAGATTGAGACCTGGGCCCTCCTAGCAGAAGCTGGCGCGCTGACCGAACCTCATCAAGACAGCCACGGATACAGCACTTTTATTACAGTCAACCAAGGGGAAGTAGGCTTCGGCTTTCTATCGCACCCAACTGTTGAGGAGCGTGAAGGTTGGCGCAAGCATCCCCAGCAATTTACCGGGGGCAGATGGCGTTATGTTGTCCTCAAACCGGGTCAGACTGTGTATTTCCCTGCCGGTACAGTCCACATGGTATTCCGACTGCCCTCTGCTGGCCACACTCTTGCGTTCGGAGGCCATGTCTTACGTTGCTCGAATATCGTGCATTGGGTCAAAACTCTTATCGAAGAGCGAGATCATCCCAACATTACGAATGAGGATTTGCTGGATTCGTCTTCGGGATATTTGGCACGCGTCGAGCGCTTCGTGACTAGGGCATTGGAGAATGGTACGGCGGAGAAGTGGGGAGGGAAGGAGTCCATTGCAAAATTCTTGACGTTGAAGAAAGAGTTTTCGCGAAAGAGGCAGAAGCAGACAAGACGTTGATATCCATCACGGCAATCAAGAGTGATATGGGTTGTGACATTGCAGAAGAGGTGAGGTTCAAGACGCGATCTGCAGAGGGAGGAAAGGATTCCGAGGCTGTTTCGGATCCTTAATCATCAATACGAGAAATACGAGGATGAAGCGATGCTGGCATGAGAATGTGTTGTGGGATAAGAATGGGTTTTGGTACATAACACTGTCTTTCGACATTCGTAGCCTACGTGTATCAGATTGTATATGCAGCACGCGATGCAACCGTCCCTGTAGTATCTGACGCCTCTCGGGCACTATCTCTGCAGCTTTGCAGAAGTCTGTTTGTGCCAGCTCCAGCATTTCCCATCTCTGAGGAATGCACACTCATTGCAGCATGTAGTCTTGAGGTAATTGAGCATGAATTGCGGCGTAGGCCTGAAGTACGCCGCGTTATAGTGAACGGGGGTAGCTCGCGGGTGCAATACATCGTCTGCGAAAGACGTGACTTTTGACTTGGGTGCCAGTGATTGAGTATGTTTTTGCGCGGACCGGTACTCCATAGCTGATACCAAGTCGCTTGCAATCGTCAAGCATAGGGCCACAATTCCGCCCCCAATGAGCTTGACACTGGTCCAGGTCAAGCTGTGTTCATCACGCCTCGCCACTGGAAGATTGGCCTCACTGCTGCGGCTGGAATATGGATGCGATGAAAGTCTCGAGACCGCCTTCAAAAAGCTCATTGGCAACACCGACACCCTTTGGGTGCTCGAGTGGCGAGAGAGGACTTTTCACCACGTATTCCACGTAGAGCGTAGCCCAGATCTGGTGCAAGACAGTCCGCATGTTTCCCACTCGCGTATCGGTGAGCATGATGAGTTTGAGCTGTGTTGGCGTCTCGAAGTAGTGAAGCTTGTACTCTCCCGTCCTGTAAGACAGAAACTGATCGTCCTCTCCTCCAAGCTGGCGGACCATACGCCGCAGAGAGAATATGGTACCGAAAATGAGCTTGGCGTCATCTTCGGCCTTGAGAGCACGTCGCGCAGACACTGGCATCTCGCCATTGCTCAGGGCACTCTGAGCGGACGCCCGATTCTGAATGGCGGGAGGTGAGGTCCATCGCTTGGAGTAGATACACTCAGCTTTGGGATTCAGTCAGCAAGGTCTAATTCCAAATTTGCGGGAGGACAAAATGCCTCACTGTGTCGGTCGAAGATGTAGAAGGAGTACACCGACATTGCTGCCATCGAACGCGGCGGCGGCGGCGGCGGCCAGGTGATGCCGGGAAAATCTAGTTCTACCTCAGACTCATCTCGCAGCGCAGTTCCGAGGTGAACGTCTCGATGGTGGTGGTGGTGGAGGCGATGGACGAGCAATCGCCCTGCATATGTGACCCCAGCACTTGCAAAAGTCGACGGCAAGACTTGCGGTTGGGGGAGAGCCGCCGTGCCGTGCCGAGCAGTGGGGCTTGCCCCAAGCTGCACATGAGGCGAGGCCTACCTTAGCACAGGCGAATGGAGCTAGTCTTTCTTCCATATGAAGGAGGAGTCGTGGTGAATTCCTCCCCATAATCACCGAAGCTCTAAGTAAAAATGGCATGTCCACTCGCTCAGCTATAGTCCACTCCCCTCCCCGCCGCCATGACCGACGAAATCCCTAGTCCCTCCTCCAACATGGACCCCACCGCTCCGGGTGAGCATGAGCGTGAGCGTGAGCGTGAGCCTCACGGAGCTCTGGCCTTGGTCCCTTCTCACGGCATCAGCATAAATCTGCCCTCGCCGGCCACCGAGCACCACCACCCGCTGCCGGTCAGGCACATGTAGGTATTCTCGCTTTGACCGGCATACAGAGATGCTCACGCCCCCTGTGCAAGGTCTGCGCCGGCCTACCAGAGTCCTCTCCGACACCATCGAAGAGCCCCCTCGAGATCGAAAGGCGTGAAAGAGACATTGGATGCGCGGTCGCATTATGGCAGTAGCGATGACGACGGTGGGGCCATACATCGCATCAACCAGTACATTATCAAGCAAGAGATAGGCAGAGGTAGCTTCGGCGCGGTGCACTTAGCCGTCGATCAGTATGGCAACGAATTTGTGAGCCATTCCTGCCCAGTGACCGCGGTCTTGGCGTTCACATGTCAGATCAATCTTGGGGAGGCATATGGCTGATACTACGCATATGTAGGCTGTCAAGGAATTCTCCAAGTCACGACTGCGGAAACGAGCCCAGTCCAACCTGCTCCGGAAGCCAAATGCTGCTAGGAGACCGGGACATCTCGCTGCGGGCATTGGCTTCAACTCACCTCTACATCGACATTCCTCTTCAGACAAACTCAATGGCACCACGAACAATTCACTGGAGCTCATCAAAGAGGAGATTGCCATTATGAAGAAGCTAGATCATCATAATCTTGTGTCGCTGGTAGAAGTGCTCGACGATCCACAAGAGGACTCCTTATACATGGTCCTTGAAATGTGCAAGAAGGGCGTGGTCATGAAGGTAGGGCTTGACGAACGTGCAGAACCTTATCCTGAAGAAGCATGTCGCCATTGGTTTCGAGACATGATTCTTGGTATTGAATACCTCCACGCACAGGGCATAGTGCATCGGGACATCAAACCAGACAATTGCCTCATTACTCACGACGATGTGCTCAAAATCGTCGATTTTGGCGTTAGCGAAATGTTCGAAAAAGATGGCGACATGCACACCCAGAAGTCGGCAGGAAGTCCGGCCTTCATGCCACCCGAGCTGTGTGTTGCCAAGCATGGCCCAGTGAGCGGGAAAGCAGTTGACATCTGGAGCATGGGGGTGACATTGTACTGCTTGCGATATGGTCGAATACCTTTTGAAAAGTACGGGATGCTGGAGATGTACGAAAGCATCAAGAATGACGAAATACCGCTCGAAGACGAGACCGACAAATCATTCGAAGATCTCATAAGAAGATTGTTGGAGAAGGATCCCGATAAGAGGATCACAATGGAAGAACTTCGAGTATGTACTCCCTCTCATGGCTCTACCTTTGCTGACTTGGCATAGGAACATCCCTGGGTTACACGAAACGGCACCGATCCGATGATGTCTGCGGAAGACAATTGCGCAACTCTGGTGGAAGCACCCACAGAGAACGAATTGAACCAAGCTATCACGGGCAACATGGCACACCTTATGACGGTGATGAAAGCTGCCAAGCGTTTCAAGAAACTGATCTACCGGAAACGACCACAGTTCATGGAGGGACTATTCGGGCGCGAATCACGACTATCTGCAGCACCTACGTCGATGCGAGCCAAAAGCGTAGATGTGTCTGATCGGAGAGCGGTGGAGACAGCCCTTACTACTGAAGGCGTGCATAGAAACATGGAGGATGAGATCGTCAAAGCACCAAGCTTACACCGGCTCGCTGTGGACTCACCTTCGCCGCTTGATAGTACCGGCGGAGTCGTTGAGTCTCCAGCTTTGTCATATTCTTCGCAGACTCCCTCACAATCTGACGACCAAATCGAGCGACCACATCTTAGCACGAAAGCAAGCACGTTTCCGCTAGACGAACGGGGGAAAGGCCACGCCCATGATCCACTCGAAGATCGAATCTATCTCAACATAGGAGCTGGTGGTGATATGGACGGCATTGATGAGCTAGAAGGACCAATCGTCTGCGAGAGTCCGGGTGGTGTCGATGAAGACATCTACGAGGCTGCATACCAGCTTGAGATCAATCGCATCTTAGGGGACAAGGAAGCTGCTGATCTTGTCCTGAATCGAAGAGTCGAGCACATCGAGGGTCTCAGGCGCCATCCTAATGTGCTCAAGTCGTCTGTGAACCACGCCGTTGACTTTGCGGGAACTACTGCCAGTCGGGTCCATGCCAGAGCGCGGAATAGCGGTTTCGCAGCCATGGTCAGGGAGACGCGCACTAGGACTCGTGAATCTGTGAACCAAATCATTGACGAACGAGCGGCGCGTAAAGCAGAAGAAGCAGCGGTGGCGGCATCGAAGTCCACGCCGTCCCTCAAAATCGTCGAACCTGACTCTCCTTCCCTTTCAACACCTGTCAGACCTGGACCGGGGCCTATTGGCGGAGTCAACACACCACCCTCGCGATCTCACACGCCCAACAGTGAACGAAGGCTGCGAGACGCGGCACGACTGCAAGCAGGTCAAGTGCTAAAGGGTGTCGCCAGCCGACTTAACGAGAAAGCCGGCAGACTCGAGGCCAAAAGCGTGCAGCAGTACGAGGGGACCTGAGCTTGTGCGATGCCGCTGTATTCCTAGAAAGACTTCCATTCTTCAAGAGCAAGAGCGACATGTGTGCTCTGACTACCTACGGCATTAGAATGTATTGTGTGTGAAAACGAAAGCATTGGGCGGACTGGGATATACAGGTTGGCGCTGGTCGCTTATCATGGTATTGATTGACTTTGGAGTTGGTAATATGGCACATTAGCGAGGCGTTCCATTCTGATTCTTGGTGGGCGAAGTGGAGTGCATACGGAAGTTCAATTCAGATCGAGTATAAGCAATAAGAACGGAAGTGAATGATCAGTGAGATGAGGTTACTTCGATTTCTGTATATTCTCAACTCGGTCCTTGGAAGCTGCTTCAGCCTTCGCCTCCTCCAAAAGCTGCTGATAGTCTTCTTCGTACTGTTTCCATATCGCTGCGTCACGAGCGACCCTCTTCCTAGTGCGCATCACGGCTTCGTGGGCTATGAGCCGCCTGTCTGCTTCGATGATGGCTCCTGCCGTCATCACAGACATCTGCAGAAACCTGTAAAATCGTCAGTTTTGCCATGTCCCAGAGGAGGTCGTACGAGCAGGACATACACCTTGAATTGGACGGTCAAACCTCTGTAGACTGGACTGAAAGCATAGCCAGCGGCGCCTGCTAAGATCGAGAAAGCTCCCCACTGGCCGTCGTCAGCATTTGGCCGCCCTTAAGCGTAGCATCCATACCTTTGCAGCTCCGACCGCCGCTCCTCTCGCGGCTACCCAGGAGGCTTCATTGATCTCCTCATCCCTCGTGAGGCTCCCATGCTTCCGCACCATCACCGTGGACAGAATCGGGGCAATGTCATTGAATACCAAGATTCTTACCAAGGGAGATGTCGAGAAGCACGTGCGCGAATGCAGCTAGATCGGAGCGGAGGGGTAGTCTTCCGATCAGCGCATGGGCCAGGATGGCATCTATTCTCTCGGTGACGCATCGCTCTGCTTACTCAGAACGCTCAAAAAGTACGGCGGCGGTAAGGTAGATACTCACGGCCCACGGCATACGGCACGCAGCTCACCACCGCACTTTGATTCCTAACGCCTCAACAGCTATTCTGTGATCTCCCTGTGTTCATCTTCTCTCGCCTCTTCATCATCCTTTCCCCCTACGCATCTTGGTCGCACGAAGCTCTGCACACGACGGCAGACAGACCAGCTTCTCCGCCGCCAATGCCAATGGTGGACATCGATCCGCCGACAACGCCGCTGCAGCTGGTCTTGGGTTCCGATCTACACACCGCGAATCGCGACGCCAACGCCCACGCCCACGCCCACGCCTCGCCCTTCTACGCGACTTATCTCGCAGCTTCCACACAGGCGCACCAGCCGCTATGTGCTAATGTCGAGGGTTGGGGACCGCTGAGTCCCTACAGATACGACTTCACACCATGTTTCCTTGATATTTGGCTGCTTGCGGTATCGGCTTGGGGCCTGGTCGCTGGAGCAGCGGCGGTATGGTGGCTGTATAAGAAGACGACAGAACAGCCCGTGGCGAAGAATTGGCACTTTTACGCGAAGCTGGGCGTGGTCGGCGCGCTTTTGGCGACCACAATGTGCCAGGCAGCATTTCAGATTCAGCGATTCGATGGTACGTGGTACGAAGATATACGCTTCTGGACCACAATTGCGAATCTTCTCAGTTTGGGTGTGATTGGATGGGTACAGTATATTGAGCACTGGCGTTTGCGCTATGCGCACGGCGTGGTTCTGGTTTACTGGCTGTTCTTCAACATTGCGTTCGCTGTTAAGCTGCGCAGCTTGGTGTCTCAGCACATGCATAGCATACATCCCGCATACTTCGGCGTCTTCACAGCGAGCCTGGCACTGGGCATTGCAGAGTTCGTCCTAGAATGGCTTGTTCCGAAAAAGTTTCCGCTTACGATGCTCTGGGCGACGAAGATGAATGCCCTCTTGAGTATGCGGATATCTTCTCCTGTCTTACCTTCTCCTGGATGACGCCCATGATGAAATATGGATACAAGGAATACCTAACACAAGATGATCTATGGAATTTGCGCAAAGGCGACAACACCAGAGCAACCGCCGAGCAGTTCAATGAAGAATGGGAGCGACAATTGGAGAAGAAGAAACCTAGCCTCTGGATTGCTTTGATCACTTCCTTTGGAGGCCCTTACTTGGTTGGTGCCATCATCAAGACTGTATCAGATTGCTTGGCTTTTGTCAATCCACAACTGCTCAGGTTTCTTATTTCTTTCGTGGACTCTTACCGACCTGGCAATGAGCCTCAGCCTCCCATCAAGGGTGCTGCAATTGCAATCGCAATGTTCGTTGTGTCAGTGGCACAGACTGCTGCTCTGCATCAGTACTTCCAGCGATCATTCGAAACTGGCATGCGCGTCAAGGGTGCCTTGACAGCGTCTATCTATTCGAAGAGTATGAGACTCAGCAACGAAGGGCGAGCGACGAAGAGTACTGGTGACATCGTCAACCATATGGCAGTCGACACGCAGCGATTGCAGGATCTGGCGCAATTCGGTCAGCAACTTTGGTCAGCTCCACTGCAAATCACTCTCTGCATGATCTCGTTGTATCAGCTCGTGGGCTACAGCATGTTTGCGGGTGTTGGTGTGATGGTCCTCATGGTTCCAGTGAACGGTTTTATCGCTCGCATCTCGAAATCCCTTCAAAAGCGTCAAATGAAGAACAAAGACGCCAGGACACGACTGATGACCGAGATTCTCAACAACATGAAGTCGATCAAGCTGTACGCGTGGACGTCTGCATTCATGAACAAGCTGAACGCCATCCGAAACGACCAAGAGCTGCATACCTTGCGGAAGATTGGTGCTCTTACTGCCGTGGCCAACTTCACTTGGAACACTACGCCTTTCTTGGTGTCCTGCTCAACCTTTGCAGTTTTCGTTGCCACACAAAACAAACCTTTGTCGACCGATATCGTCTTCCCAGCTCTGACGCTGTTCAACATGCTCGGCTTCCCTCTTGCCGTCCTCCCGATGGTGATTACAGCGATAGTTGAGGCAAGCGTTGCCGTCAACCGTCTTTCCGCCTACTTTACGGCGCCCGAGCTTCAGGACGATGCTGTGCTGCGTAGCGATCCCGTGGACGCTGGAGAGGAGTCGGTGTGCATTCGAGATGCAACCTTCACCTGGAACAAAGATGAGGGGCGCAACGTCCTGCATGATATCAACTTCAGTGCTCACAAGGGCGAGCTTACCTGCGTCGTGGGCAGAGTAGGATCCGGCAAGTCTAGTCTGTTGCAGACCATGTTGGGAGACCTGTACAAGATCAAGGGTGAAGTGGTCATGCGTGGTACAGTGGCATACGTTGCTCAGAGTGCTTGGGTGATGAATGCCTCTGTTCGCGAGAACATTGTCTTTGGCCACAGATGGGATCCATCGTTCTACGATAAGACCATCCACGCTTGTGCGCTAACTGAAGATTTCAGCAGCCTTCCAGATGGCGATCAGACCGAAGTTGGAGAGCGAGGCATCTCTCTTTCTGGAGGTCAGAAGGCACGACTCACTCTTGCCCGCGCCGTGTACGCTAGAGCCGACATCTACCTCCTCGATGACGTGCTCTCAGCAGTTGACCAGCATGTCGGACGACACATCATTGACAATGTACTGGGAGCCAAAGGCTTGCTTGCCACGAAAACACGCATATTAGCTACCAACGCCATCCCTGTGCTTATGGAGGCACACTTCATCGCACTTCTCAAAGATGGCAAGGTACTCGAGCGCGGCACTTACGAGCAACTGATGGCCATGAAAGGAGAAGTTGCCAATTTGATCAGGACTTCGTCATCAGAAGAGCACATTGCAGATGACTCTAGTCGAACAAGCGGTATGGATAGTCCCTACTCTGAAAGCACCGTCTACATACCGGACGACCCAGAAGATGCAGAGGAGGAAGCTGAAGCGGAGGACGGTCTGACGCAAATGGCTCCCATTCGGCCAACTGGTAAGTCTTTTCATGTCTCGTGGCAGGTGGCACCGGATCGTTTTCCGCGGAGCATCGTTGCTCTTAGCGTACGATTGGTAGTTGCATGGCTCTGCATCACGGTGCTTCTGGAAGTCCGTGGTTGTTCTATGTGCACTCTCTTGGCTTTGCCGGGTTGTCATAGATCGCCGGTATCTCAGCAGACACTTCTAAGACGTCACTTGCGAACCTTCAAGATGAATGCCGCCGAGCAAATCCGTGATTGATATGCTCTGCGAGAGTGAAAGAGTTTGCGTCTAAGAAAGGCCTTTGATGCTGCTCTCGGGAGATTCAAACCGGAATCAGTGCTGACTGTGCCACAGGGAGCGGACCGATCGCTACGCGAAAGGATAGCAACATGACCCTTCGAAGAGCTAGCACAGTCTCCTTCCGCGGTCCTCGAGGAAAACTCAACGACGAAGAGGAGAATAAAGGCAAACTGAAGACGAGGCAGTCGAAGGAGTTCTCGGAACAGGGCAAGGTCAAATGGGATGTCTACAAGGTAAGAAGCATTTGTTTGCACGTGCAGGAGCCCGGCTAACCAAAACCAGGAATATGCCATCAACAGCAATCTTTGGGCGGTTGCAATCTTTTTGATCACTCTCATCGGCGCTAAAACGGCAGAGATCGGTAAGTGACTCCTCGTGCCATCTTGCGATGGACCTCGGGATGTTCAGAAGATGCTCGCATTGAGCGAACGGACATGCTCGGTGGATAAGATTTTCACCCTGGCTCTTTGTACAGCGCTTTACGAATGCACGATCGAGCTAAGTGACTAACGCATGCGCGCACAGGGGGCTCGGTCTGGCTGAAGGAGTGGTCTGAAGTCAACGATGCTTCCGGCGGTAACCCTCACGTCGCCCGCTACATTCTGATCTACTTCGCATTCGGCATAGGATCCGCATTTCTGGTTGTTCTGCAAGTAAGTTTTCTGCATCGAGGCGAGGTGATGTGGCTTTTTGCTAACAACCACACAGACTTTGATTCTCTGGATCTTTTGCTCGATCGAGGTGAGTTATCTACCGGGATAGCCGCGCTGTGCTCTCGTCGAGCTGCACGACACCCCGGCACTTGCACGCGTGGAGCCCTCAGGCGAAGACGGACCGATGCATGGCTAACGCAGGTTTGAATGACAGGCATCCCGAAAATTGCACGCAAGTATGGCGCATGCGATGTAAGTCAAGTGAAGATGCCGATGGAGAGCAGAGACCTGTGTATGCTAACCGACTCGTGCAGATTCAGAAGTCCGATGTCTTTCTTCGAAACAACACCGACCGGCCGCATTTTGAATCGCTTCTCCAGGTACGTCCGTGCACATGGTTGGTTTTTGGCTTCTGCCGCCAGCCAGATCCACATCTGCGAAGTAGCTATACAGATTGGCTAACATGATCTTAGTGACATTTACAAGGTACAGTACATCCACGTACAAGGAAGTGGTTATCTTCATTGGACAATGATGTTGCTAACGTGATGGTTCTCCTCATTTAGGTTGACGAAGTGCTCGCGTAGGTGCAGCCGGCCTTAGTGCCGATAGCGTCGTTTGAGATCTGGTCATTAATCGTTGTCTAGGCGAACGTTCAACATGCTGTTTGTCAACGCTGCAAGAGGTACGTATTGCCGTGGGGTGATCTGGATGTTAGCCTATGCGACTAACGTTGAATAGCTGCTTTCACGCTTGTGATCATTTGCGCATCGACCCCGATATTCGCAGTCCTGATCATTCCACTCGGCGCCCTGTACCTGTGGATTCAAAAATATTATCTCCGGACGTCTCGAGAGCTGAAGCGCCTCGACAGCATCAGCCGCAGCCCGATCTATGCCCACTTCCAAGAGTCGCTTAGCGGGATCAGCACCATCCGTGCCTACCGCCAGACCAGGCGCTTTGGGCTTGAGAATGAATGGCGTGTAGACGCCAACTTGCGCGCCTACTTCCCATCCATCAGCGCAAATAGGTGGCTTGCAGTGCGGTTGGAGTTCATCGGATCCATAATCATCCTGGCTGCGGCAAGTTTTGCGATCATTTCCGTCAGCGCTGGCAGTGGACTATCGGCGGGCATGATCGGTCTTGCAATGAGCTATGCGCTGCAGATCACGCAGTCCTTGAACTGGATCGTGAGACAGACAGTGGAGGTTGAGACTAACATCGTGTCTGTTGAGCGTGTGCTCGAATATGCTCGGCTACCTAGTGAAGCGCCAGAAGTGATCTTCAAGAACCGGCCCCCAAATAGCTGGCCTTCTAAGGGTGCTGTCTCCTTCAACAACTACAGCACCCGTTATAGGCCCGGTCTCGACCTTGTCTTGAAGAATGTCAGCCTCGGCATCAAATCTCACGAGAAGATTGGTGTCGTTGGTCGAACGGGAGCGGGCAAGTCCAGCTTGACACTGGCGCTTTTCCGAATCATCGAGCCTGCGGATGGAGACATTTCGATCGACAACCTTAGTACAAGCTCGATTGGTCTGAATGATCTTCGAAGCCGCCTGGCCATCATTCCTCAAGATGCTGCTTTGTTCGAAGGCACTGTAAGGGATAACCTTGATCCAGGGCATATTCATGATGACACGGAACTGTGGAGTGTGCTTGATCACGCTCGACTACGCGATCACATCGCGTCCATGTCTGGCCAACTCGACGCTCGCATCAACGAGGGCGGCTCAAATCTAAGTCAGGGACAGCGACAATTAGTGTCTTTGGCCAGGGCTCTTTTGACGCCCAGTAACATCCTGGTGCTAGATGAGGCTACAGCAGCAGTGGATGTCGAGACGGATGCAATGTTGCAGACGACGCTTCGATCAAACATGTTCAAAGATCGAACGATCATCACCAGTAAGTGAAGCGGAAGCGGAGATGGTTGTTGCTTATACTGACCGTTCGCTTCAACAGTCGCGCATCGCATCAATACCATTCTTGATAGCGACCGCATCGTGGTGTTGGACCATGGCCAAGTGAAGGAATTCGACACGCCAGCAGCTTTGGTTGCTAGTAAAGGCCTTTTCTACGAGCTGGTGAGGGAGTCAGGGCTGTTGGGACAGGTTGACATCAGTGGAAGCATTCAATAGAGACACAAGCCAGCACTTGTCGTTCATGCAAGCTATACGCCACATGCGGGTTTGTTCCTCCGGCATGCATACTGTGCACACGAACGTGTCCTACCTTCATGCGATATGCTCATCACGTTGAGGGTGTCATGCCATGCGAGCGTCCTTTGTGGCTGGCACGTGCATGCATCAATTGTAGCACGCCACAGCAGGTGTTGTGCGATGCCACCATGACCCTTCTTCTGATCGCCATCGGGAGCATCTGATGGCGGCAGGGCAATGATGGCATTGCGCGGGCCGCCGTCACCCCCTGCTTTGTGCCGTGCTTCCCCGAAACACCTGCGGTCGCGCGGGCATGCCTTTGAGAGGTTTCGATGGCGCGGCTGCGGTTCGGGCGGTGCCGCAGGCGTCGGAAGTCGGAAGTCGGCCCGAGCCTGACTTAGCCCCACGATCTTGACGGAAGGAAGAAGGTCAAGGCGCCGATCGCGCTCCCGGCGATGACATCCTAGTGCGCAGGCCATGCTTGATCAGGAAATCGTACTGGCCTGTTTCTACTGTAGCGTGGCAGGCTCTCGCGCTGACCCATGACCAGTCGCGCGACGCGTACGAATAATAATGGCTTCACTTCACGATTCGAGGGAGGTTGAGAAGGGACGGGTGGAGGAGCACGAAAGCACGGGCTCCACGAATACGATGCTACATGCGGGCGCCGAGCGCGGCATGCGCAAAAAGGCCAACACTTGCTGCTGCTGTGCGAGCCGGCCTATTCGAGTAACAAAGTCCCTCGAGCGCACAAGCACAAGCACAAGAATGCGGGCAAGGCTGAGGACCTGAGTCTGTTGCCGCACCGCCGTGCGCTGTCAGGGCCCAAGAATGCCGAATGCCGCGTCTCGATGCAGACTTCGCTTGCCCCCCTCACCACCACAATCTCCGTCCAGGCCCGACATGCAGCTACAGTATGTCGAACGCCTCTGCATTCTCTGATCACAGCATCGACCGGCTGATCGCGCTGCACCGTCGGTCCATCTTCCCACGGCTCCTCCCGTGCAGATGGGACTGGCTGAATCTCGCCTGCATGCGTCGACATTCCGAATCAGACCTCCCCAGATCGATGCCGATCATTGACTGGCCACATCACGGTGGATTGCGACACTCGCATCTTGCACATCGAGAGTAGCGTGACAAAGCGTCGGCGCTACGGACCAATTCTCAGGCCTGGATCTAGGTTGTTGAATTCGCGGCTGCTGCGCTGGCAGGCGCAACACGATATTCGCCAGATGGCCCGCCGAGTCCGACCAGCGACCAGGCCAGGTCCGTCGTGATTCATCACAGCATCCCACGGTTTGCTTTGCCTTGCCCTCCACCCGATGCCCGACGCGCTTCTTGGCGTTCGCCAGCCCTGTCTGCCGTTCTGGTCACGGTGCTGCTCTGGTGACATTATTGAAAGCAGCGGAGTCCGCCCGATCTCAGAAAGACCAGGTCTCACCGGGCGAGTAATAAGCGCACGCAGCGGAGCAGCCCTGCGCGAATCTGCTCGATTTCCTGCTCGCACCGACATTCGACCTGGCCACACCGTCTCTTGTCCTCTCAAAGATGACGAACACTGGTCCACTGGCTTGAGAGCAGGGATACATCGACAGGGCTCCACACCACCGACAGATGTCAAGACCGGCTGCCATCCACACGAAGAGGCTATCTCAACTGGAGGAGCCGCCTGGCGCCATCGAAAACCTTCTTATTGATCCCATATCCCTCTCTAGTTCCGAGAGATCTCACACCGTGCTCAATCCAGAAGATCAATTCTCATCCAGTCCCTTCTGTCATACAAAACATTTCCAATCAGATCGTTTCTGCTGGAACCCAAGCAGTCGTTACAACCCTCACGACACCGACAATTTCCTGCCTACCGACTGGACAGCTCCCTCTCACCTACCATCGCAACGGTACCGCTGCAACGAATCAGTTCATAGCATCGTTCATGCTGACACTCGATAACAGTCTCTCAACGGCCTTCACCACTTCACGAACCTGTAAAACAGCTGCTCGCCAGACGACCTCACGATTTGACGACAAATTTTCTGCCGAGGTGGACTTACGTGACTAGATGCCAAGCGAGATCTGATCTAACAAACCAGATTGCCGCGAAGCTTTGTTCCAACGATCCTGCCTAGTTCCTGGTCAAGGATCCCATAACCATCCTTACTTGTCGATCGACCTGCACTGAGTGAGACGCCATTCAAGAATGGTTGTCTTACACGACCGAAGCCAGGCCGAGAAGCGTTCAATGAATCAACCCGCATTTGATATCGCTCTCGAAGAGCAGGTATGAATCGAGATTGACGACTTACTCCAGACCAGGCACTGATGTTGTTCCAGACCTTTGAGCAACGAAGAAATGCTCTCGAGAGACAAGCCTCAGACAACAAGAGTGCATATGTTCTCGTAGCCCGTGATGAGCAAGGCAATGTGCGAGTCCATGCTTCCGCAGGCATCAAAGGCTACCTCGATGAGAACCAGATTGCGTCTCAATACGCACAAGCACTCGAACTTGCAACCAACGAGTCATCTACCATGGATTCTCAACGAGGAACTTTGATCTCAGAACCACACGGCATCGAAGTTGAGAGTGATGGAGGCGACGCCGACGTGATGACACCAGTCATCCCCTTACCACAGTTTAGAATCAAGGGCCGACGTATAATTCGTCCAACGAGGCAACGTGGCCGATCCATGCTGCGTCGGGATGCCTCTCGATTCTCCTGTGCTCCATATCCACGTCCAGAGCAGACTGTTCGAGAGCCAATTCCGTCAGACCCAGAAGATGAGCCTGCGCCTCCCGTTGCGCGACCGGCGGCACGCAAAATGCTCAAGAGCTTCCGCATTGACAACTCTGAGGAAGTCACCGGGTTCTTGACTTCCCGACTGAAGAGAATGCAGCAGCTTGCCGACAAGAAAATTGCCAAAGCCTGGATTAAAGGGATATGCCCGAAGAAGCAAGCCAAGTTTCCATATCAGAACCAGAAGCGAAAGAAGGAAAATGGAATGGAGACCACTATCCCGGGTTGGTGGCCGACATCAGGTTGCCGCTTCATCGAACCCGACCATATTCGACGAGAAGGTATGTCCTGGATTTATCAGATCGAGCTCGATGGTCGCTGACATAGAGCAGAACGCATGGAGCTTTGCTTGCATCTGCTTCGTCTCCGCCCCACACCTGACCAGCTCAAGGCCTGGAACAACAATAATGTCGATCCAAACCCGACGCATGTCACAGAAGGCTGGACTGCATTTCTTAACGAGCTCGCGGGGCCTGAAATTTTCGACGATTTGCCGAAGGAGTCTCCTGAAAAAACCAACATGCGGCTTACTTTGATGGCACAGATGTATAACATTGCTCGCATGGAAGAAGAGTATCTTGACGGATCCAGAGGTAGTTTGTCTTCTCGCTGTGGTTCGAAATAGGCACTGACGACTGGCAGATGGCGAGGACCTGTTTACGTACGAAGAAGATAACGAAGATCGGAAGTCAATGGCTCCCAGCAAGAGAGCGCGGAGACAGTCCATCGCATCTCTCGACGAGCTCGATGAACGACGTTCAGAGTCAGTGAGCTGCACGAGAGTCAAGCGACTCAGAAAAGACTCATCTCCAGCGCTGCGGACCGGCTCCCAAGAGCGACGCTTCTCAGAACAGAAGCAGGACATTGAGATGCTCGATATACAGACCCCACAGCCAACACATCATCACACACTCCCATGCTCTGCTGCACTGGCCGACAGAGAACCGCCAAAATCACAAGAAAGCCTTCGCCAACAGGGGCCCTTGCCTGTCAAACAGCGAGCAAGGCAGACTTCTGACCACGACGTCCAGTGTCAACCTGGCTCTGTCAAGTACGAGAGCATGTCTCATGATAGCGCGCGACAATCAGACGACCAAGTTCATCTGTGGCGCAATTACGAGCAAAATCCTGGCGCGTGGGTCGACCCAAATGCATCTGCCCATTTCGGCCAGCAATTTACAGGTGTGGGGACATATCAGCCGCTGCCAGCAATGACCACCTTTCCTGGCAAGCAGAACTACGAGTTCCCACAGTACCATTCGCATGCTCAAAACCAGGTCCAGGTACATCAAGTCCACCAGGTACCGCAACCAGAGTTTCACAGCTTGCCTAACACGCCTGTCTTCTCTCCTTCCGGTCTGGTGGTGCCGATGCCTCTGAATATGCATCCGGTCTATCCAGAGCAGCATCTATCGCAGCAGTCGCCATATGGAACAACCATGGCACCCAACCACTTCTTCATGCCTGCTCACGCAGACCCGACAGTCGGGGATTTCCAGCCTCAGATGAACTTGCAGCAGTATCGTCCAGAGCAGGCTGACTCCGCTCAGCGTCACATCACGCCAATGCAATACCAGGGCATGCCTTTCACGCATCCTGGAACATGGAACGAGCGTCCTCAGCATCGCTGATGCAATTCATGAGTCGCCATTCGACTTTCCGAGTCATCGGTTTTGAAGCTCTTGTTTACATCCGTTCTTCTCGTCTAGCTTATGCAGACATACTGATTTCTATCAGCGTTCAAGCAAGCGTTGTGCTTCGGGATTTGCTTCCGTGGAATTTTCGTTTGGTTTTGGAGGCATTAGCTCATAACCGATATGCCCCACAACCCTTCATATGATGAAGCATTGCACAAATTGTAAATTTATACAGTTCCGGCTCCCTTTGTTCATAGATGAGATATGAGTGACGACAGATAACGATGATGGAGAATGGTGGGTTGGTGGTGGTGGTGGAATCGTGGATGGGTTCACCGCTGGCGGTATGGAAGAAATTGTTATATAGACTCGTCTGCTCTAGTAATCTTGGATAGATGGTATCGAGGTAATGGAAATAGGATTTGGGTCATCTCGAGTTTCTGTTGACGTGTGATGTTGCTGTAGAGGAAGGCGCGTTGAACTCTAAAGCGCCAAGGAGATATTGCGGGAGCAGCCGCTCGGAAGTTCGTCTCGTGGCCGAGCTTGGATCTTGAAGCGTTGCGCATGACAAAGAGAACATGTCGGACGTTGTTCTTTCAACACGAATCATACCTGGATCTCGATACTCCGCCGAATCTGGACTGTGTCGCAACATATAACACATGAGGGCCGAATCGCGACACTCCCACGTTGACGGCCATGTCGTCACTGGGTGGAAACACCCGCGGACGCGGTCGCGGCGGCGGTCTGAATAGAAACACAACGACAAATGGCGCGCCGACCGGACCATCAAGAGGGCGCGGCGAACGAGGTGGAACTACTACGCGACAACCAACTCGAGGTCTCTTTGGAAAAGCGACGCGAGGCGGAGCTGGGAGAGGCGCTCGAAACAATGGAGCAACACCACAGAGTCCTGGCGCAGTCAACTTCGTTGGACCTCTTACCAAGAAGAATCTGGAGCAGCGACGCACGGCGGTAAGTTCCACCCCAGCAAAAATCGACTGACAGGAGGCAATAGTGACTCGGTAAAACAGCTTCGAGAGGCCCGCGAGAAGGAGAAGAAGGCAGCCATTCGCGATGGCCTCATGAACGATCCGGACAAGTCGATCAAGCTCTCCGAGGCGATTACGATGGTTGCGACATGCCAAGATATGTGCCCGCAATTCGAAAGAGTCGACAGAGCGTACAAGAACGACATCGCAGATATGGAGAAGGTGTGTAGGACAGCATACAAGTGATCCGAAGGAGATGGGATTGACATCAGCCACAGAACCCCGACTCCAGCATGTACAGCGATGGCGAGATACACATGGACGAGGATCGCATGGTCAAGTCGTTCAAGCGATCTGCTGCAGGAGACGAATTGCCAATTCCTTCCGATTTGCGAACACCACAGACCCTACAACGAACTCTGGACTATCTCGTCAACGACGTTCTGGGAGACGACATTAGCTCAGATCACCTTGGCAAAGTACATGGCTTCTTGTGGGATCGAACACGAGCCATTCGCAAAGACTTCTCCGTCCAACAACTGACCAAGATCGATGATCTGAAGATTGCCATTCATTGCTTTGAACGAATCGCGCGGCTTCACATCGTCTACTTGCATGTCTTGGCTGTGCCTGGAGCGGTAGAGAAGTACAGCTACAGCCACCAGCAGGAGATCGAGCAGCTGGACAAAACGCTACTCTCTCTGATGCAGTACTACGACGATACCCGCAGCCGACTCAATTGTGAGAACGAAGCAGAGTTCCGTGCCTACTGCGTAATCTTCCAGCTTCAGGATCCTTCAACACCAGATCTAGAGGATCGCGTTCAAAACTGGCCACGACACATTGCAGGTGATCCTCGAGTACAGGAGGCTCTAAAGATCTTTGCTGCTGCATGTAATGCATCAGATTTGCAAGGTCCTTTTCCGAGTGGCAAGACAGCACAGGTGATAGCTCGGCAGGACTGGGCCAGGTTTTGGGATCTGATAGCTTCGAACGCGGTGTCCTACTTGATGGCTTGTGTAGCCGAGGTATACTTCAACTACGTTCGAGAAATGGCACTCAAAGCTATTGTCGGCGGTTCTGGAGGAAAACCCGGCAATGAGAATACATCCTGGACGCTGGACAGCGTATGGGATATCTTCAATTTCGACACAGCAGAGCAGCTTGACCATTTCTGCTCGCTTTTCGGCATGTCGCTCAAGACAAAGGACGACGGAACGCAGTACTTGTCCTTCAAGAGCAGAATTCAGCCCCAGCGATCTGGAGATGTGCATCAACAAAAGTCCAGGCTGGTCGAAGACAAGCGACAAGGGAGATCCTTACCCGCTGTCATTGATGGCTTGAGCATCAGAGCAGCCAAGGATGCTGCAAAGGTTGTTGACGACGAGGAAGAGGGAGAAGTCGAGGAAGAGATGGAAGATGCTGTCTCAGCAGGCGAAGGTGAGGAGGAATCAGATGAGGAAACACTCTTCGTGTCAGAGCAGAAAAAGGTGAAGTCCAACAAGCAAGGACTGGATAATGGAACAGCTGCGCCAGCTGCTGCAACTGGGTTTGTCTTCGGCCAGCCACCGGCGAGTTCATCTACTTCCAAGTCACCGTTCGCACAGCCAGCAGCAGGTCTCTCTGCATTTGGAAAGCCATCCTCAACTGCCAGTCCATTTGCTCCCAAACCGGCCGAGACGGCGACGAACGGACTCGGTCGGGTTCCTGGTACTTTTGGATCTCAAGTTGGTGCAACTTTTATGATGCCGACATCGACAACACCTTTGTTTCCCTCTTCAGCAACACCAACGACTAAACCAGCAACACAAGGACTTGGCATTAAGACACCTGCGATTACCTCAGGCACAAAAGCGACTTCAGCAGGCCTCTTCAGCGGTTTGGGTCAATCAACAAGCAATTCTGGCCTTTTCCCTCAGAAGACAGATACACCTACCACTGATCTCTTCTCACCAAAAAGCAATGCTGCTTCGACCGGCCTTTTCCCATCTGCAGCGCCGGCATCATCTGCACCAGAGCGTGAACGATCCTCGATTTCCAACACGCATGGCACATTCACTTTCGGAGGATTGGAAAATGCTGCCGCGAAATCGCCTCCCGAACAGAATGCCAAACCGGCCGTGCCTTCCTTCAGTTTTGGCTTAGCCGCAGGTGGCTCGAGCTCAACGGCTGCACAGACCGAAACTAACGCGAAGTCACAAACACAAAGCCAACCTCAACCTCAACCTCACAATACTTCACCTTTCGCCACATCACCGCCCTCACAGAGCGCGCCGGAACCCAGCGCGCCTTCTTTCAATCCCGGCTCCCTATCACCGAGCCGGCGCCAATCAATCAACGCTGGCCAGGACACACGACCCAAGAGGCCGTCTCCGCTGAAAGAATCATTTACAGCAGAAAACTCTGAGCAGGTCGCGCGTCCGGCAGCTACCAAAGCGCCGCCAAGAGACGCAGCGCCGATACCACGCACTCTGTCTGCTGCAGCGGAGTTTGACGCCATCGTCACAAGTCTCGCCAATGATCTCACTTTTGACCCCACCGCTGGCTTGCTGAAACAGTACGTAGACTACCACGTGCGCAGTATCGTCACAAAAGTACAAGAGGAGGTGTATTTTGAGCGCATCAACGCGGAAGCAAAGGACTACCGCAAATTTTCTCTGTCTCTGAAGTACTTCAAGAAGTGGCGAGCTGAAGCGCGCGCAAGATACCTGAGGAGAAGAGGCAACGAGTCAAGAGCCAGGAGACGCGAGAGGTTGACCAAATCGTTGGTTGAAAAAGGCGAACTTGATCACTGCGTGCTTGAACATTCTGTTCGGAGCAGTAGAGCATCATCCAGACGACCAACAGCACGTAAACAGCAATCAACGCAGGCTCAGAAAGTCGACACAATGTTCCGATCAACGAACGGCGGAAGTCGATTCCAGCCTCAGGCAACAGCTGGCAGCAAGCGCCCAGCAGCTTCACTTGACGGCGAGCTGATGCCACCACCTAGTGTGCCTGGACACAAGCGAGCAAAGAGCAGCAGTCATGTCGATAATCATGGAAGGGTCGCCAAGCAAGCTCTCACGAACCAGCCCAATGCAGATCTCCTCCAACGATCCTCCTTTCTCGGCTACTCAGCTGCGGATAGAGGAGAGACGATGCCCAGCACGACCAAGTCCAATTACTTCCGCATGAAGGCTATGGGATTGAAGCCTCAGAAGCAAGAACCTGTTCCGCAAGGTACCAAACGGCAACGCTCAGAGTCTCTGGACGCAGCTTCTGTAAAGCTTGATGTGTCGCGAGCACGACTGGGATCATCATCGCTTCGTAGCTCGGCATCTGATCGGCCGCTGGACATCAGTTTGACACGTCCATCGCCACCTGCCTCGGTGAGGGCAAAGACCAATGAAGAAGATGACGCCTTATTTGCTCGCATTCGAGCAGCACGAAAAGCACTGAAAGATGGCGCCGAGTTCTTCCGATCGGAGAGGGAAGAAGACCTCCGTCGCAGCCGTAGCGCGTCGCGATCCGATCATGATTCTCCCTCGATGGAAAGAGCTCGGTCTGAAGCACGTATGCGCTCAAGTCTAGGCGCTTCCGAATTTGGTACCTCAACCACAGACAACCGCGACGTTCCTGCGTATAGATTACGCGAGAGTCGCTTCGTACCACGCGAACAATATGGACGTGCGATAGAGCGCGCAAATGAGATCCGTGCGTCCCGATCGCAGGCAGGAAGCAGGCCCGAATCACGCACAGGCGAGCGCCCATCTGAGGTCGTTCAGTCAACCAAACCAGAAGCTGCTGCACCTCCCAAGGAGAACTCCAAGGTCACGCCCCAGCTGTCAGAGCCAACCACCAATGGCCACAAGGATTTCACGGATCCCCTTGGGACCACGGCAAAGTCGGCATTGCCTGTGCAAGCCCCTTCATCTGGCATTGGCTTCGGGTTCGGTACTCAGACGGCGACGTCGGCACATGTACAACACCTTCAGCAGACGCAGCAGACGGCAGCACGAGATCCGTTCTCGCAGCGCTCTTCTTTTGCACCTGCCATCACGACCAGCCAGAACCCGTTCCTCCAAGTCAAAGCACCGACTTTCGGCACTCCCAACAACGCTTCTGCCAATCCATTCCCACAGCAAGCAAAGTCGACATTTGGCTCGTCTGGAACGAATGCTACCACACAGAAGAGAGCTTCTGCCGTTCCGGCCCAGCAAACAACATTCAGCTTCGCCTCGACTCAGAGTTTCGAGACTGGAGACCACATGATTCGGCCTGCGCAAATACCTACCGCGCTGTCCACTAGTTTTGGACACCAAGAGCAGACACATCCCAACCCATTCGCATCAACGACTAATGGCAGTCCCACGCCGCCACAAACGAACTCGTACATGCCATCTCAGCCAGCATCAGCTCCAATCTCGCTCGTGTCTGATGATGAAGACGATAATCATGGGACAAATCTGCCAAATGGCCAGACGGAGTTCTTCAACCAACTTGAGAATGCTGCGGCATCCGATGTCGACGATGCAGAACCTACACCTACTCAAGTAGCAACTTCGTCGTTCAACTACGATCCGCCGTCAGTATCGCGAAACACATACGCCAACCAATTCGCTGCTCTTGCCGACTATGATGAGGAGGAAGGTGCGGCCAATGAAGAAGAGCCGGATAGGGACGCCAACCAGCGCTATGCTGAGGACGATGACGAGCAGGAGCCAGACAGCTATCATCACGGCGATGTTCTTGACGAAGATTCCTTCGAAGACGACGATGGACTCGAAATGCCAAATGGTGGCTACAGAAAGGCTTACCAGGACGAGTACTCCGGCGAAGAAGAGCTAGAAAGTGAAGAGCGTGACACTGAAGACTATTCTGAGGAAGGCTACGATGATGAAGAAGAGGAAGAAGATGGCGAGGAACCCTTCTATGCCAACAGTCACTTCTCGCGCGCCAACCATCGGGCCATGCCGAAGCAGCAAGCTCCGCCGCTCAATCCAGTTCTGCAGGCTGGAAACAACAGTGAGGAACCAATTGAGTTGGACAGTGATTGAGCTTAAACGACGACGATGCTCATGCATGTACAGAAAGGGAATCGTATAGTTATGGGAGTGCCAAGCGAAGAGCGCTTGAGGTGAAGCATAATGAAAGAAATGCAAAGACAGGTCGCCAGAGTTCTGGGACTTAAGACAATTCTCACACATTCTCACAGCCACCCTTTTTCTTTTCGATGTTCTACCCATTGATCAGGAGTGTTGACACATTAGTCAGAAGCCTTTGGGCAGTGTCAGAAGGAACCCTGTTCTGACAGCCCTATTTTCTGACAATCCGGTGGAGGATTCCCGACTGGCCCCGCTTCTTCCGTCCAGTTCCTCACGGGTATCATGAGCCTTTTCGGCCAAGCCTTCAACAATATAGCTACGTGACTGGCTGCGCTTAGAGAGGTGGTTCGGTAAAGTTGCGAAGACCAAGCCTCCGAGACTCGAAGGCTGAAGCTTAGGGCCGAAGCTTTCAAAGCACTCAGAATGCACAATCTATGCGTAAAAAGACTCAGCGAGCTCTCTCTCCAGTCAAATTAATTGATCCCTCATAGCGACCTAAAACATAATATCAAACAGTGAATATTTGTGCAACAAGCAACCACCCGAAATGACAGTACAAGCACCTGGTCGACTAGGCGATCCTTCTCTCAATGTTGCCACAGATCCGAGAACACAACCTGCTTTGGCTGCGTTGATGAAAGCAATGCAGCTCGATGCGAACCAGGAAAATGGATTCTCTGGAACAGACTTTGATTCGATTCACGCCGGTATTGCGGATGCTTCTGCTATGATCGGTGGCCTGTATAACAGCGTTCCTTTGGAGCTCCCAGAGGACAAGGACGAAGACGAGATCGAGTCGAGGAGCGTGACAGTTAATGGACAAGATGGACACAAAATTAAGCTCACAGTGGTGAAGCCGAAAGCCGCTACTGCTTTGCTGCCCGGCATTGTTTATATCCATGGTAAGCAACGAACGTCAGAGATGATGATCAAAGTAGCTGACGCAGAGATTCTAGGTGGAGGTATGGTCATCATCGATACAGACTCGCCCGTTCATAACCGCTGGATCAAATCCCTTGCTCTTCAAGGAACCGTCACCATCATGGTGGACTTCCGGAATGCGTACACGCCCGAGAAGTACAACCCCTTCCCCACAGGTTTGAACGACTGCGTAGCTGCGGTGAAGTACGTGGCCGCCCATCGCGCAGATTTTGGAATCGATAAATTCATCGTACAAGGCGAATCTGGCGGCGCCAACCTCTCTTTCGCGACAGCTTTAAGGGCTAACCGTGAGGGATGGGCTCACGAGATCGCGGGCGTTTACGGGTACGTTCCGTATATCTCTGGCGGTTATGGATGGCCCGATGAGCGGAAATTTCGAGAGACACCGTCCCAAAAGGAGAATGAGGGTTATTTTCTCAGCGCCCCGATGCAAACTGGTATGGCATGGTATTATTCGCCCAAGGAGGGAGAGCTGGAGAATCCGCTCGCCTGGCCATATCATGCGAGCGAAGCGGATCTCGAAGGTTTGCCGCCACATGCTATTAGTGTCGATGAGCTCGACGGGCTGCGAGATGATGGAATCCAGTATTTTCGAAAATTGCTCAGGGCTGGTGTTCCCGTGTCTTGTGATCAGAATCTGGGTGTCGTGCATGGAGCGGCGCTGATTTTTAGGCATGCCTTGCCTGAGATGAATAGGAAACAAATCCGGAGCATTGCAGCCTTCGCAAAGCAGCAGTGTCGGTAAGCCGCTTGATCACTCGGAAGAGAAGCAGATATATCATCCAACTACGAAAACAAATCCTCATCCCACAAATACCCCCACCTCTCCCTAAACCTCTCCTCCATCCTCCACGCCTTCGGATCCCACGGTGCTCCTCCCGCCTCAATCGTAAAGCACGGAGTATTAAAAACATCATGTAAAAACTCCTCCGGATCAATCACACCAATCAAATGTATGAAATTCTCTCGCATATGAGGAAACGGGAAGCGATCGATCCAAGGTGGGTGCAGCGTACTTCTCTGCAAATCCGTGGGACGAAGTGATGCTGGTACTTCTGCACCGAACGCTTTGCTTAGTTGTGGGACTAGTGTGCTACAGCTCAGGCTCATGAATTCTCCGTTTTTCCATAGCGCGGAGTAGACGGAGAGGGGGATGGGGAGGAGGGAGATGGAGTCTTGGTGCATGGTGCAGCATTCGGTTCCGGAGTTGGATTTGGAGTTTTCGGCTTTTCGGCGCGCGGGTTCGTAGGCTTTGGTCCAGTCTGTGTCTAGACGTTCTGCTGTGGTGTCCTCCGATGTGCTTTCGGTGTGTTTGGCTTCGGCAAGTCGTCGACGACGTGCTCGTTGTGCTAGGCGGTCTTGGATCTGCTTTCTCTTCTTTGGGTCCTGGATACCGATCCAGCTGTCTGGACTTTGCTCGCTGATGGTGGACATGATGGTCACTTTCGTCGATACTGGAGTAATTCTTGAGCAATGCACTGGGGGGCCTCCATGCTGCCTGGCCGAGTGGTATACATTTGAGGTGTCGTCACGGGCGTGGAGATTGGTAAGCTGAATGGCGGTGGTGGGGCTGAGTGAATCCTTTGAGCTCTGTCTTACCTATCACCACTTACCTTACAAACGCGTGAATCATTCGTACGTTCCGAGACTGATGGAGCGCAGTAGCAACTCACCGAACCGCCTGCCCTCTCCGATCTCGTATCCTATTCTAGCCAACAAAGCGAACACATCCATCATCCTTTACCCAACACCGCGGCCCCTGCTTACAAGATCACGCAGATACAGCCTATATAGGTGGAGAATATTTGACATAAGAGATACATTTCCTGGGCGAAAGCAGGACTCGCGGAAGAGCAGGGAGCCATCTGGCCAATGATCGCGGCTGTAAGGTGTCCGTATGATCGGCGCCTCTGCTCGCAAATACTGAGCTTGGAATACGATCTTGCGAAGATAGGCCGTCTGAGGTGCCAAGAGGACTATCTTGATCGATTTCTCACTTGAGAACACGCTCGTGGACGACTTCGAATACCGGTTTTGGTCACGATTTGCTTGCAAGATGGTCATTACTTGGGCTTCACCATCGCGAAGCGGTCACGACGACCCAGAACTCAGCCCGTGAACATGTCTCAGCAGACGGGTGGCCAAGGCATATTTTACTCATGTCATATCTTTACAGGTGCCCGGATCCGCTAGAAAGAGGATGTCGCGGATTCAGAATGCCAGTGTCCACTGGATGCACGGCGCTATTGCATCTAGTCCTCACAGTACAGCACCACGAGCATAAAAAAAATTTAAGTATTGCACACCCCGGATGGATCGTCGAAACACGATACGCAGACTACTCTGCTTGAACGACCAGACCTAGATCATTAGAGGTCAGATCAAATCGTCATCCGCATCTTCAGCTTATCCTCAGCTATGATCACATTCTTCTTGGCTTCTAATTCATCCACATCCCAGTTTGCAGATAGATACCTCCCATTGAGCCAATCTCGCCTCTTCTTGACGAGCCAAATACAGAAGGCCCCGCACAATGCAGCATCATCTTTCACTCCTTTCTTCATCCAATCTGGTAGCCCTGGAGGCGAGGGCGTGGTCGGGACATCTCCCGGATGCACAGAATACGTGAGCACACCGAGCTCCAGATAGGCTTCAGCGATATATTCGGTCAAGCGGTTTGCTGCGAGAGCTGAGATGCAAAAGCCTGTTGGTACACCAGCCATGACGATATGGCTCCCAACACTGGAGATGTTGATGATCGTCTTGGCTCCATTCGGGCTGGCGAGCATGAGCGGCATCAGATGCTTGATTGCGACGAAGCGGCCAATGTAGTTGACGTTCATCATGGTCTGGATTTGACTGAGCTCGATATCATGCGTGTGCTTCGCAAAGGCACTGGAGTGGGTGCCGAGAATTCCAGCATTGTTGACTTTAGCAGACTCAGCTAGAGGTCTGACTTATACAAGACGAACTTACTGAGCACATCGAGCCTTCCAAATGTACTTTCTGCGACTCTGGCTATCTTCCTCGCTGGCTCGTCTTCTACGCCAGCCTCTGCCACCAGAATCTCTACCTTCAGAGTCTTCAGCCTTGCAGCTCTTAGACACAGTTTCTTGGTGACTTCGAGGCCTTCAATATGTCTTGCGGTGAGTATCAGGCCAGAAGAGCCTGCTTGAGCAAATGCAACTGCAGTCGCTGCTCCGATGCCTCGACTGGCACCGGTAATGCATACCACGAATGGAGAAGGAAGAATTTGAATTGCAGGGCTCAGCGATGGAGATACATCGTGATGGACCGTTGGTGTAAAGTTGACTCCGGTGTAGTCGGGGAGAGAAGGCATTGGTTCATGGATGTATCGAAGCGTGATGAGACAGCACGACTGACCTTATCATCGTATTTAAAGTGTTCTCTGCGAAAGTGGTGAAGTTCCACTGCAGTTTTGCTGTGCTGTCTGGGGCTTCACGACCTTTGACCAGTGCTACAGCATTTTTCTGTATCGTGAAATGTACTTGATTTCCTCAACTTTGAATGTCATCAATGTCAATGTCCATGTACTGTCTTCAAATCTACCCTGACTGCCTAACTGTCAACACACTCATCAGCTTGAGCCTCCTGCTGGCTTGTGCTCCGCCCCGCCCCGCTCCGCCCCGCCCCGCCCCTGCTCCTTTCTTTCTCAACTGATGGCTACAAATCTCTTTCTTCTGTACAACGACAACGACATTCTCAGCTTGCTTCTCACAAAATGCCACTTCAGTTTTGGACTCCAAGAAGCACTCGATGGCGCGTCTTCGTGTGCAGTTTCTCTTCGAAAGGTGCGGTGTCGCCGTGAAGGCCCTGCGGACACAAACACAATGAGGCCGCCACTCGTGGAAAGACGGCCGCAAGTACAGTATGTCCGATCGTTGGAAAAGACGGCGCCGACTCCGTTGTCTCTATCCGGGGTTTCGCGGCGCGGGGTGAAGTGTGACTGACGAAACGGATATCCTCTTCCACGTGGAATGCCAGCTCATAATTTCATGCGCCAAAGTCGCACGAAGGCGAGCGACGACCCAATGGAGGCATCCCCGGTCTGCTGGTGGCGTTTGCATAGCCGCATCGTGGATTGAGGCCGCAAGAAATCATAAGGCGGAGCAGCAATCCTACACTCTCCTCCTGTCTAGTCATTTGGAGGGCGAAACCCCTTTCAAAGAATATGATCCACTCCACACATTGGTACGCATGTTCAAGAACGATAGTTGTGCGGCTCTGCAGGCAACAGACCACTAGGTAGCTGCGCAAACCGGTGAGGCTGGAGGTACCGTTGCCTGAGTCTCTTTTCTTTTATTCTTCTCACACTCCACAATTCTCCTCATTATACGGCTTTGTGAATATGCCATCATACAATCCTCCAAAACAAGTGGAAGAACCTCAAGACGCTGTTGACAACTTTTGGCAAGGATTTAATACTAGAAAACCTGGGCACGTGCGACGCATCCTACGACTGAGCAAAAGCTCAACCGGTCAAGATCCAGCTCGACTTGAAGGCAAGACTGTCTCGAACAACAAGAACGGAAGCTATGAGGCGGCGCGAGAGGCGTGTATACGCAGAGTACAGACAATCGTGCGGGAATGTCAGCGGCACAATCGGAAGTTCCAGGACGAAGACTTCGACATACACGATGATTTCAGATATACCTTGTGTAAAGACAGCGAATTCCTTCACGGCCTTCCGACACCTCAGTCCAAATCGACAGACCTTTTACCTGTTCCTCCTCCGCCGCCACCTGCCCTGCCTTTTGAGCAAAGGCGGCATTGCGAAGAGTGTCCCGAGGATGGCCCATACCGAAAAGGCCGCGTGGCCAGCACAGATGCGACGAAGCATCCTCGTGCAGTTCACAGGATATCAGAGATATTTGAAAAGCCTTTACTCACGCCGAGGGCGCCGAAAAGCTACCTAGCTCATCCACCTGGCCCAAGCTCTCGATTGCTTTTTTATATCCAAACTCACCTTAGAAAGTTCGGCGTTCTGCTGGAGAATCGCACTGGACTAGTGACCCGCTGCAAGGCTGGTCGAGAGAAGCTGCCCCGGGTACAAGTGCCTCAATGGACGCTCCGCGTGAGCGCAGTCATATGCGCAGTATGGTCGATTCTCTATCGAAGGGTGGAGATCCTGCTTGCTGCATATCTTTGGACAACGACTGCGACGCTGGTCCTCGCTCGATTCTCCAATCTTCTAAGCATCCGTTTGACGCTCGAATGGCTGTTCGTCAATGCTTGTCTCGCAGGTGTGCTGCGTGTGTCGACGACTATGGAAGCTCGAGCAAGTTGCTTGCATTTCGATTCTGGCGAGATACGACAAAGCGACAATCTAGGAAATTGCTGGTGGTTATCTGCACTCGCGACTCTCGGCAGTCGTGACGAATTGCTTCGCAAGCTCTTCGTAGCCTGGGATCAAGACTGTGGCGTCTACGGATTCTGCTTTTATCGCGATGGGAGCTGGATCTACACCGTGGTCGATGACTATCTCTACTTGACATCTCCAGACTTTCAAGGAAGTGGCGACAATCCACCCGATGACAGGAGCGGGAGGAGATATCAAGCCTGGAAATCTAGCTTCCAACGAGGATCAGATGCATTGTTTTTCGGCAAGTGTCAAGATCCGAACCAGACGTGGCTCCCTCTTCTCGAGAAAGCGTACTCTAAGATACATGGTGACTATGATGCTGTGCACGGAGGCTGCCCGAGCGAAGCTGTCGAAGACCTGACCGGTGGTGTAAGCAGCCCGCTTCCGCCATCCAGCGTGCTTGAAAAGGACCGTCTTTGGAAGGAGATGCTGGGTGCTGGCAGAGATCATGTGTACAGCCTCAATGCGCCAGCCACAGGTGCTTCGTCGAAAATGAGGGGCCTTACGTTGATGCATGCTTTCTCAGTTGATAGAGCATTCTGGTACTTTGACTTTCATCAGCTTAGATGGGTACGATTGCTAGAGATTCGAAATCCGTGGGGGTGTAGAGATGGCGTTTGGGAAGGTAAGCGGTCGCGCTCATAGGTCATTGGTCTTTTGCTAACGAACGCTCCTCTTCGACTAGGTGCCTGGGGCCCCTGTTCAAAGGAATGGAGTCTCCTGTCAACATGGTTCCTGCGACGCAATCCACAGCAAGATGGTGTTTTCTTCATGACTTACGAGGATGCCATGGCCACATTCGATTCCGTTGAACGGACAAGACTCCTCGATGAACAAGACTGGTGCATAAAACAATCTTGGGTGAAAATGGACGTCGCATGGGCACAGCAGTACAATCCGGTCTACTTCACCGTGCACCTGACCAAGCCATCCGAGGTCGTCTTCGCATTATCTCAGCTCGAAGATCGGTACTGGCTTGGGCTCGTCGGTCGTTATGTCTACCATCTCACAATCTTGATACGAAAGCGAGGCGATGAAGACGGCGAATACATTGCCTGCGAGTCTGCAGGCGACGAAGTCCAAAGCTGCGCAAGACGAAGTGTGACGGTTGAGAAGCACTTGGAAGCAGGTGAATATGAGGTTCTCGTGAGGATCAATGCTCTCACTCGAGGCACGGAGAACATCTGGAGCGTCGAAGACACAATCCGACAATCCATGCATCGCCCGAAGAAACTTCAACAAATTTCTCGGAACTACGATGAGGCGTTCAGCAAACTCAGAACCGTGCTTCCGTCCGGCAGATTTGAACATTCTCTACAGTCCTGCGCATCTTCGGACACGGACTCGGCCAGTAGCTCGGATGTTTTCGATGCGGTGAAAAGTACCACGAAGATGATATCTAAGCCTGAAGATGCGGCTTGGAATGCTGTTTGTGGCATCGGGCTACGCGTCTTTAGTAAGGATCCGGAGCTGTATATTGAGCTGTGTCATCGTCAAAGCGATGTCAGAGAGTGGGCTACGTGCACAAGTGGCTCGCGCTCTGGTGTCCTTACACCTTCTACCGATACTTCCTCGGAGGCGGACAGTGAAGAGGAATGGCATGATTTGGACGAATTGGTCACACCTTGCTTAAATGCAGACGGTGATGGAGTGGAGGTTACAGATACAGCATGTGAGGACGCCATGGCAAGCGGGTCCCGCACAATCGAAGACGATGATGACGACGACGACGACGATGATGATGTGGCATTGCGGAAACTGGGCTGGATCGGAGCATGATCATAAGCGTTCATTATACTTTAGTATTCGTCTTTTAGCGAGTCTTCACTCAGTATCCACAGTATTCACAATCCGCCTCATGTCAGGGTATTTGGGTCGACTTCCACAATAGCTCGATTACTTCCCCCAAATATTCGGGCTTTGCACAGCCATTGCGAGTGGAGAATTGTAGCGGAAGAGGAGGACTAGGTGTTCCAATTGCCGTAGCGAGGCGAGGTATAAGCCGAGTGGAGAGCTGTCGGAGGCGGAGAATCCTGAAAGGAACTGGTCTCTTTGTACGAAGGGTTGGAAGAGATCCATAACACCAAAACTTGCGGAGGCTGTGAGAGGCATCTGCGACATTTTGGGGACGTCAGTGTTCAGCGTACCTATACAACAACCTATTCCTTCGCACTGTCACCAATTGCGACATGCCCTGTTGTGCTACACGTGTGCTCGGTTGGCGCGATCTAGTCCTGCTAGTGGGATATGCAGGGCGATCGCTGCACAAGCACATGCGCTCACTGCTATTCTTCTTCTTCATCGCGGCTTGGCTTTGATGGGCCATGGCTCTTGTGTTGTGGCGGTCAATACAGTCGCAGCCAGACCGCCTCGACACGCTTTGCTCGAACGCAGTCCCCCAATGACCACCGGCGCCTCAATTGCCCTGTTCCCAATCCGTTCGCAGAGCCAGACCATCCACACGCGTGGCGCTACATCGATGAGAGGAGATGGTGGCTCGTGGTGGAGAAGAGAGGAGAGGAGAGGGAAAAGCTGTAGCTGTAGGGAGATTGCGCGAGCGTGCTTGCGCCGAGGACAGCTTGTTGACGACGCGACACAGCTCGATGCTCGACGCGCAGGCTCTAGAGAAGGCGATCGGCGCAGAATCGTCGCAAGGCAAGGGTGATGGCAATGGGCATGCGGAAGGGAAGTGCGAAGTGCACGGCGACAGTGCCTTTGGCCAATCAAATCGCACACGTGGCGTCTGAGCGCCTTCATTGTGGCTGTTCGCTCATCAAAGACAACGACAACATTCGACCTCGTGCTTCGACAACGCGCGCACAACGATCCCGGAAACTGACCGAACCAACGCCAGAGACCGATGGACCAGCGATGTGTGACCTTCGTTGGCTTGTGATAAACCCGTCTCGGGTGCGCAGTAGAAAGGGATGCAAATTCGCTGCCTTCCCGCTGCATCTGACTGCCAGCAAGGCGACATCTGTCAACAGCTCTTCCAGCAGCCCATCGCACTTGCAACCTCCTTGAAGCTGCTACTCGGGCCCATACAACAACGCGTGCGCACTTCCTTGTGGCCCAGGAGAAGAGGCCTGCTATGCTCGAGACTCACAAAATCGACTTTCCTGGGGAACTCATTGGCAAGAAAATCCTTCTTGCGACTGAATCACTTGGCCCAGTAAATGGAGTGAGCAGAACGACTCAAAGCCTGGTCGACTACCTACGTAGCAACGGAGTGCACGTCGCAACATGTGCACCACATTACAAGGGACAACCTCTCAACGCAGCAGAAGCAAAGCCAGAACGGCAGCCGATCGTCAATAAGGACTGGCTGCGATCCATTGAAGCGAAATCTGCTGCTCTTGCTTCGCGTGCTATTGGTGGCGCCTGGACGTGGCATTTCGACCGTGATGAGGCAGCTCGTCAAGAGTCGCAACCGCTTTTGCAAGCGCAGCCGAAGCCGCCGCTCTTCAATCGCCAGCGTAGCGGAGATGCGAGACGCAACATCGAGCTGCTCAGGCAAACCAGGTCGAATCCAGAATTCCGTCTTCAAGGCTACCCACTCCCATACAATCCAGATTTGACAGTCGCCTATCCCTTCCGCCTGGGCGTGGTCTACGACAAAACCTTCAAGCCGGATATCGTCTACCTCGCCAGCCCTGCATCAGTCGGCTTTCAGTTCCTCATTCAACTCAGACAGCTCGACCAGCCACCACCAACACTTCTGAATTTCCAGACCGATCTCGCTGCCTATGCCGATATCTTGTTCGCCTCGCCAATCAACACGTATGCCGTCTGGCTGCTGTGGCTCGCCCAAGGCTTTCTCTTCCGAGCCGCCGCTGTGCATACCATTTTCTACCCGTCCGCCTACGTCCGAAGATACATGGAAGATTGCGGCGCACCATCGGAGAAGATGATGCAGCTTGGTCGTGGCGTCGACACTGAAATGTTCAACCCTAGTCGCCGCGACGACTCTTACCGAAGACAGATCGCACCTGGAGGCGAGATCATTTTTTGCTGCATCTCTCGCATCGCACCAGAGAAAGGCTTCGAATTCCTTGCTCAAGCTACCCAGCGTCTGCGAGACACGGGTCTTAAATTTAAGCTTCTGATCGTTGGTGGCAACAAGAATCCTGCAGTCGAGAATGAGGTACAAGGCTACTTCAAGAATCTACAAGATTGTGTTGTCTTCACCGGAATGCTACGAGGAGTTGCACTGGCGCGAGCGTACGCAGCGGCCGATATCTTCCTTCACTGCTCGATCACGGAGACTTTCGGGCTTGTAGTGCTCGAGTCTATGGCATCATGTGTCCCGGTCATCGCGCGAGACGAAGGCGGTCCTTCGGAAACGGTCAAGCACGGCAAGTCCGGCTATTTGGTGGCACCAAACGACATGGACACATTCGTACACTATGCCACCGAGCTCGCCACAAATCACGACCTCCGGAGCGACATGGCCGCTCGTGCACGCGAACAAGCTCTCGATACCACTTGGGAAAAGATCAACAATCAAGTCGCATTTCGATTGGCAGACGCCCTTCGTACATCAGAAGCATCGACCTCCTCATCAACCGCCAAGAAGCTTTCCTCAATTAGCGACTACTACGGCAATTTTGCGAGCATGTGCAGCGTTTATCTGGCTGTGGGTCTTGTTTGGATTTTCTGGTTCATCGCGGTAATACCCATGATTCTTTGCGGGCTGGTGCATGGTCTCTTTAAGTGAGCATGACCGGCTTCGCTAGCATTGGAGCGCAAGTACGATGAAGCGTGATTCATAATGAATATAGCGGCGGCATTAGGGAGGCGGCTAAGAACGCATTGCTGGAGGATAGAGCACAGAGAATGAGGCGAAGACGTTGAGATGCGAAATGATGTTACGCCCTCACATGCGAATGGCACTCATCATGTTGTGCATTTATCGTGGTCAGCCACGTGATCAGTCTCGTTGACAATTCCCGTGACCGTCGCGCCGTCCTACAGCCCAGGGTGCCTGGCGAAGTCGGCGTGATCTGTTGAACAACAAATACCATATCATTCTTCCGCAATGGCGAAGATGGATTTGCTTCCATGCGGAAACTGCCATCAAGCGCCTGTTCTATCGCTCCTTTCGCAATGACAGCTTGAACGGTCGGTCACCAAGACGAAAAGCTGCAAATACTCAATCACTCGCGGTGCTCTCGGACGAGCCCGAGCAAGACGTTCAATAATATACATACCTACCTACCACGTGAAAGTCACGAACCTTCCCGGACGAGAAGCGTGCCTTATCAAACTTCCCCAGCTTTCAGATAACAACACCTACCTCCTCACGAAACATGAGCAGGATGGGAGAGATGTGCGACGAGCTACCGGAGCTCTTCTTCACCTCACTGCCGACGTGATCCCAGTAGCCACGATGATCAGAGCTCTCCGACGGCGCGGGACTTATCTCATCACCAGCAGCAGTGCAGACACTGCACCGCGAACCAACCCATAGAAAGCATGCCCGCGTATATACATACCTTACCGGCATTGCTATACCCTTACCAACACTACGCCTATCAGTCGGGTATATCGCAGCCCTCTCTGTATCCACGATCTCGGGCGATGGTCAAGTATCTTCTACATCTCAAGCACTGAAGCTCTCGTTCCCTCTTCACAGCAGTCGCTCCCAGGCATCCTATCGAGTGTACTGACCATCAACCATGACGGGCTCACTGCATTCATATCTCGCGGACGAGAAAAATGGCGCGATCAGCACCTCTCCAGCCGAAGCCGACATCTTCGCCGGCGAAGTAGAGGATATCGACGAAGAGCACGAAGTCTTCAAGAAGAATGGCGAAGTCAGCTTTCGAACCGTCGGCTGGCCGCGCGCGTCAGTCATCTTCCTCAAGGTCATCTTCGCGACCGGTGTCCTTTCCATCCCAACAGCAATGGTATCCCTCGGTGCCGTCGGCGGCTCGCTCAATGTGATCGCATGGGTACGTACAATGTAGATTGGTCGATGAGGCACGCGTGTATGCTTATGAAACGAAAGAGCGCTTTCAACACATACGTCGCCATCATCTTTGGAGACTTCCGAAACAGACACGCGAGATGCCATTCAGTAGCAGACATGGCTGAAATAGTCGGAGGCTACTGGGCCAAAGAACTCGTCGGAGCGATTTTCATCATCTGCTACGTGCTTTGCGCTGGATCTGGAATTCTCGGTGTTACGGTGGGCTTGAATGCCTTATCTCATCATGCTGCTTGTACCGTTTGGTGGACGTAAGTGGCCCGAGCCTCGATTGTGACGCGACGTTCACCAACTGACCTCGTCTTGCAGTGTCTTGGCAACAGGCGTGATCATCGTATGTGAATCGGTCTCCTCACAATGGCCGGCTTCTGTTCCATCTTCGTCGCAGTGATGGTCGTCGTCATTGGCGTCACGACTCGAGACAGACCCGCTGCCGCACCGCAGACCGGACCATACGAACTCGGGTACTTTGCCGTTCCTAGTGGAATCCCCTTTGCGGCTGGAGTGGTCGCTTCGACCACAATTTTCTGCTCGTCTGCGGGCAGCTCAGCGTTCTTACCCGTAATTTCCGAAATGAAAAAATCCTCGGGATTATAGGAAGGCGGTATACGCTTGTATGAGTTTGGTCACTGCCGCTTATCTCGCTTTTTCACTTGTGGTGTACAAGTGGTGTGGAAAGTGGGTGGCGTCCCCGTCGCTCGGATCTGCTGGGCAGACTGTAAAGGTGAGAGGGAGAGGCATCGGAGCTGAAGAAGATTCGATACATTTACTGACATGGAGCTGCTAGATGGTCGCGTTTGGCGTGGGACTTGTAGGCTTGATTGTGAGCGGATGCCTCTACCTACATGTGTCTTCGAAGTATCTCTTCGTCCGGATCCTGGGCAAGACAAGACACTTGCAAGAGAACACTTGGATTCACTGGGGTACGTTAGGCATTCCCATATCATTTCTTCGTCAAGAGCTGACTGACATCGCCGCACCAGGTACCTGGCTCAGCTGCACCATCGGCCTCGGCGCGATAGCGTTCATCCTCGTAGAGGCGATTCCGATTTTCAACTACCTGATCGCCATCATCGGTAGCGTCTGCTTGGCACCGATTTCCATCATTTTGCCGGGATGGCTCTGGCTATACGACCACTGGAGCTGGTTGAAAGGCAATGCTAAGCAGCAGCTCGCGTTCTGGTTCCACGCGTTCTTCCTTCCGTTGGGAGCCTTCTTCACGGTTGCAGGGACGTACGGTGTGATCAAAATGATCATCGATGCTTATGCTTCCGGACTGATTGGTGAGCACTCCACTCCTCGAACTTTCAGTCTGCGTAACCCGACAGCTAATGCTATTCTAGGAGGAATCTTCCAGTGTGCTGATAACTCGAACTCGTCGTGATTAGATTGTATCGTCGATTCGGCACATGTAGTCGTAGAGAAGTTACTCAGGTTGAATTACATCTAAATATGGCTGAAATGAGATAAAAAATCTGATCAACGAGACCGTCCTCGCCCTCCGCCATTGTTTCTCACTGGTGATCATCATGTGCTGTAGAACGCCTCACAAGCATGTGCTGATTGATATGAAAGCACCCCAGAAGAAAGCAGCCGCACCTACCCATAGTGGGTAGCTAAGCAGCAAGCTCAACGTATATATACGATCTTTCCCATTGTGATCCAAAGTCGCAATATCCGCCAGACGCATTACCTTTCCGCAGGCTCCTTGGCGCCGATAGTTGCCTGTTCTATGCAAGGATACGGCCATGCCTGCCTCTTTCGTAAGACTGGAGGTCCTCTGCCGGGTCCTTGAACACTCTCACCACAACGCCTCGTGGATCAGTCCCTATGACGGTCAGCATAGTCTCCGAGAGTGAGATGTATAAAAACACCCACATTGCTGCCCACGAGGCATTTGAGTCTGTACCTGCCAACCTGGACCTTGCGGACCGCTACTGACAATCGTTAGGGGTATCAAATCACTCCACTCCTGCCACGGCTGCGACAATGCGGCAAGTGCAATGAGGAGTGGTAGCTCTCCCACCAGTCCGCTAAATCTCCTGTCGTTCATACGGGTGAGAGAGGCGTAGCGATCGGGTAGAAGATACTGGGACCAGAGCTGATCCCGATGATGTGCCAACAATCTTCGCTCGGGTTGTCTCAATCCAGCGAATGACCAGTCAACTTGACTACTAATTCTATTGAAGCTGAGTTCTGCCCAGTCTTCGTGAAGCGCTTCTTCATCATCATCATCATCGTTGTCGGACTCGTCGCTATCTGAGCGTTCCGCGAGATTGCCATCTTGTCCGTTGCCAACATATGTGGCAGTCGCATCGTACGGCACTGCCCAGATCATGCCGGAACAGTAGTACACGGAGAAGGCCTTGTAAGCCTGGATGCCTGGTGGCAGTCGCGAGATCTCTCTTGTCTGGGTGCCATTGTGATGGAAGATAAGGGTGAACGGACGCCTTGGGTTGTCCGGATCTGGCTGGAATGTATTGTTGCCTTGGGCCTTGGGAGGCGACCACTGCCCGTTTCGCCGAGATGAATTAGGTCTCATGTTTCCATGTTGAATCATCGGCTGTAACGTAAAGTAGTATCTGGCCTGATTGAGTCAGCGCCCACCGCCTCGGTGAATTGAGCATTGCTGACCATGGTATCTCGCTGCAACATGCGCTGTCTTACTCATGTCGTTGAAGACCACGGCGCTGATGGCCAATTGGCTTACAATTCTCTTACTGGCTTTCTAAGGAGACTGTAAGGAATGCTGGCTACAAACTTCATATTGTCGACAATTGACTGCTCAAAGCGAGCTCGCGGACGTCAGAGACCCGTGCATGGCCTCCGATGCACCTACGCGCCAGTTCCATCTCCGGTGAGGACCATAGACCAACCATAAGTGCAGATCACACGCAATTGGATGCCGATGGGATACTAGCCTGTTCAGCGTGAGCCGCCTTTTGCCTATACATATGCACTGGTGGGTTGGCTAGGCCCAGCGGAAATGCTTGATCCCTGCCTTCCACCGCAACGTAACAGTCACCAGTGAGAAAGTCATCCGCAGTGTTGCAATAGAGAGGCAAGGGTGTACTGCTCATGCCATGTACAACCTGGAGCTTGGTGTGGACGTGGTGACATGGTTCAGCGCTCGAGCAAAGCTTGGTGGTTTGCGATCATGTGCAGAGTCAACCCACTAGCCGAGCCATCTCGCAACGTCTTGCTGCTACTTTTCAGCGATCATGCAACAGAGCGGCAAAGCACCATGAAGTGGCCATGAAGCTCGTGCGGAGATGCTCGCAATACGGCCGCGCGACGTGTTTCGGGTCGAAGAATACCGTCTGAGTTCCGTGGTGGCCGCACGTGACAATCCGCAAACTCGTGGTGGCCTGTGTCGATCGCACTGGTATCGGGGACGGTGCGGGCATCGAGCATAGGGTCCCCGTCACATGGCTTTTGGCTCTTGCAAGGTGGGCATGGGCATCCCAGTCCACTTTCACGTGAGAGGTGTGTCGTTTGCCAAGATTTGCGGCTTAAAACTGGCAGCGATTGGTCCAACATGTATATATGTACCGCCCATAGAAGTCGGAAAAGATGCTCGACTTCGACCACAGGCGACTTTGTCTTGCCATTGCACAGGCGGTGCATTGGTCGCGCTTGACCATCGAATCGTGTGCGTCATGCAGATTGAGCGGCTGGTCCAGACTGTCGGATTCCTGGTGGCTTCTGCTTGAGCCTGTAAGAGATTAGCGGATTTCGCAACTCAACGACCTTCAAAGCAAAGCTGACATCTAGCGATGAAGGTCTCAAGGCATGTCTCGAGTCTTAAATATCCAAGAAGGAAAAGGCAGCTGACAGCACATCCATGTCTTATTCCTTGCCTAACCACAGACTTAGCTCTCTACGCCCCGATGCGTCCGGCGCTGGGCTAAGTTGCCGCTGCAAGATTGCCTTGGCGCCTTCGTACCGAAGATGCGAACCGTGTGAGGGACCGCTGGCCCCCAATCATTGCCATCCGAGGCCGTGAGGCAATAGCTGAGCTCAGCGACGGTCAACCACACGGGCCGATCAAATCGATTCCTGAAGCAGGTCACGGCATCGGCAACGACCGCTCAGCCAAGACTGAACAGGAAGTTCTGTGCTTTCATAGGTTTAAGCTGGGTCTGTGTCGTCGCAAGATTTCTCAAAGGTCCAGCGGTGCTGTTCGAGGTCATGGAGGCACTGAGAATCGTCTGAAGAAGGCGGCCTCTTTAAGCTGCAATGAGCACCACGCGAAGCCAATCATGCTTCGTAAGGATTCCGTGCCGGTGCGAGGATCGGCAAGCCACGGTGCAAGCAATGGCCAGTGGCAGGCACTGTGGTACCGATATTGGGACATCTTCAGCTCATCGGTTCGCAACTATGTCGTTAGTAGTTGTTCATTCGGCAGGATGAGCACGATGACAAAATCGCGAGCTCGGGGCCCGGACTGCGCCTGTCAGTATGGTAACCGGCTGTACGAAATCAATGTGTGCTGCATTGGGTGGGTTGCTGAGGAGCGCGTTGCTGAGAAGGACCATTCTCTTGGCAACGAATGCAATCCGCCTACGATCCACTCCTTCTGCGTCGCTGTGCGGTATCAGCAACGGGCGGCGGCAGTATTGGCGACACCAACAAGGAGTGTCGTTCGCCCGTGGTCCGATGATGCGCTTCAGGACAAGGCGAAATGTCTCCAGATGCCAACAGAACGATATTGGGACGAGCGGCTCTTCTCAACGTACGCCTGGCACATCAACATGCCATTTCCATGCTCTTACGGGGAAAGAAGCTGTGTTGCTGGACTACACGGATAGCATTGTTGCAACAGATGCCCGGGGTGCTGTTGTGCAACTGTGCGATCGAACGTCGAGGGCTGGACTGCATGCAGAGGCAGAGGAAGGCAATCAACGCCATCAAGACGTATGACTCGAGAAGGGATCGGCCGAGCTTCTGTGCCTTCGATTGCGTTTCTGGTATCGACAAGCGAGCGTGCGGGATAAGGACGCGTTTCGAGTCGGTCAGACGCGTGAGCCAGGTGTGACTGCTTCAAGCGTTGGAGATGGAACGAAGCAACGAGGAAGTAGCGATGCTCGCCGGCTTGCATACATGTAGCGGGAGAACGACCACGGTGAAGTCAATGGGATGAGTTGCTACATGATACGGGAGATGAAGGAGTGAGGTCCGCTGGAGGGCGGAGGGCGGAGAGCGGCACTCCCTCGGAGTCCCTCCGTGGTGAGGAGAAAGTGGTAGGCGTTTTCGTGCTGGCCCCTTTGGCTTAGCTTTCGGCGCCTCTGAGCAAGTTTTGTAGTTTCAAGGACCACTCGGAGAAATAGAACTCTGCTTCAACAGACAGCGTCATGAGCGAGAGGTCTTGCTTTTGCCTATCAATATTGCAATTTTGAGTACACAGAAGTGTTTTGTCCTGATACTCAACGGTCCAGATCCCGTGACCCGAACTTTTGACGACGGCTCGACGGCTCGGCACGAGTTCCTTTTTTGGTGTCGTCCAAATTTCTGTAGAACAATTTCTGGCAACCGCAAACCTGACATATCGCAAGAATGGCGATGGAGAAGCCTGTGAACATTGTGGTGCTGGACACCGGGGCAATTATAAAAAACGAACCGCCAGTATCCACGCTGCTTAGCCAAGCCGAGACGCTCGTGACTGTTCCTGCCATCATATCAGAGATCAAGGACGCCGCCACTAGATCAAGAGTTGAGACCACGCTGAAGCCATTTCTGACAATAAGGTCACCCAATCCCAACAGCATCCGATTTGTCACAGACTTTGCGCGAAAGACTGGAGATCTTTCAGTGCTCAGCAAGCCTGACATTCAGATCATCGCTCTCACATACGAGCTTGAATGCGAACGGAATGGAGGAGACTGGAGGCTGCGGCGCATACCCGGCCAGAAGGGGCTGAACGGTGCGCCGCCCAAGAAAGGAGAGGCGCAGACAGACAATGTTGTCGACGCTGCTGTTGATGCCGTGCCTCAACCCAAGAGTGAAGAAGAAAGCACAGCTCAGAACGTAGCGACAGCGGCTGAGCCAACAGGCAAAGCTTCGCAGGAAGATGCTAATCCGGCATTGGCTCAATCAGATCTTGCGGAACAGCTTCAGAGCGCCTCTATTACCGAGACCGCCGAAGACATCGCAGAACAGAGATCACCGAAGGTCGACTCAGCGCTTAATTCTGCCGAAAGCCAGGAAGATTCAGATTCAGACTCTGAGGGCTGGATCACACCTTCCAACTTGAAGAAGAAACAAGCAGAAGACGCTGCAGCATCAACGACGCAGACACCAGAGCCGAAGACCATGCAGGTTGGTGTTTTGACTTCAGATTTTGCCATGCAGAACGTTATTCTTCAGATGAACCTGAACCTTCTTTCGCCTTCCATGTCTAGAGTCAAGCACTTGAAGACGTACGTACTGCGATGTCATGCGTGCTTCAACGTCTCGAAAGCCCTTGACAAACAGTTTTGTCCGAGATGTGGACAGCCTTCGCTGACCCGAGTGTCGTGCTCGACCGACGCGAATGGCCAATTCAAGCTGCACCTGAAGAAGAACATGCAGTGGAATAATCGGGGGAACAAATTCAGCGTACCCAAACCTGTGCACGGCTCCGCGAATGGACGGATCAAGGGAGGTGGGAAGGACGGCTGGGGCCACGAATTGATCCTGGCTGAAGATCAAAAGGAGTATCAAGAGGCCGCAAAGCGCGAAAAGAGGCAGAAGGAGAGAAGTCTGATGGATGAAGACTATTTGCCTAGCATATTGACAGGAGATCGAGGGAAATCAGGTGGGCGCCCGAAGGTCGGCGCGGGGCGGAATGTGAACAGTCGAAGGAGATGAGGTTGTCAATTCTTGATCTGGGCTCAAGTATGGGAGTCATTTTGCTTTGATGGTCGCATTTGCATGCTAGGCGTTTGTGGAAGGATAGAAGATCCTGCGTGTCGGCGAGGAGTTTCGCGGAAAAGGAAAGGAAAGGAAACGACTGGCTTGGTAACGACAGCATGAGGACGTGAGGCAGCATAAACGACTTCACAAGTCAAACTTTTGTAAACGGCGCCTCTTGCCTATGCCGAGTCTCGTGAAGTGAATCTACTGGCCGCCTCTTCCTTTATGTCATCTCATTATCTGCTTTGACTCACTTCAAACGTGCACTGAAGCATTGTCGCTCTCAACTCAAGTAAACTCCAAAAATTCTTGCTCTTGTGCACCCTCGCCTGCCTTCCCTCCGCGCTCATCCGCGCCTTCTTGCATTCCAAGACGTCTCAACTCCATCAGCCGTAGCAGAAAAGTCATTTGCGCCTTCGCACATAACATTCTTGCAACTCTTGGAAAGCTCTCGACGCGTTCCTTGCCGCAGATAAAAGCACACAAGACTGAAGATTGGATACTTTACAAGGTCAGTCAGTAGCACCTTCTCCTTCATTCCACAACGAAATCTAACAACCTCTCAGCCGCCTCAAACATGCCTTCATCATCCGAGCGCAACACCGCCGAAGAAATGCGCCTCTTCGACTACTTCAAAGAGATCTACGTGCGCCTATTCTACGCCGAGCTACAGAGCGAGGCTCGAACCGTATCCCAAATCTTCGGCGAAGCCCTCGATGTCCAACCAGGAAATCTCATAACATGGCTTGGCGCGGACCCGAAGTTCCTGAAGGCTGCGAAGGAGAATGCAGATAAGAGACAGGTTTCGGATTTGTGCTGGTCAGCAGGAAATTATCTGGCAGACTCGGCCGCGGTGTTGTTTGAGTTTGGGAGGAAAGTTGAGGGGGCGCGGCACTGCGAGTGGGCGGATCAGCTTCATGGGTTGGCTCTGGATTGGCAGGATGTTGAGAAGAAGGGGAGTTGAGGGGCAAGCGCAGATTTTCGCTATGAACGACGCAAAAACTATGGCACGGGTCCTAAGCCGTTTCTGCAACGCGTCAGCTTTGTCATGGAAAACTATGGCTACAGGACTATGAAGCTACTGTTCCTGTGATTGCCGAGAGACATGGAGCGCAGTTCAGCAAAAGGATACAGAGAGTCTCATGCCGAAGCCGTGCAATGTTGAGGAGCAGCAAGTCTGCAGAGAAGACGCTGCAGCCTCATGATGGCGCTGCACTCACTAAATGCTTTATCACCACCCCAACCCCAAATCTCAATATCTGCTCTTTCCCATCCATATTCATTCATTCTTGTCCGGCACTTCTGACACCGTCTACACAACCATAATATGCGTAACCAGCTCTTATAGTACCAACAGTCTCCCTCTCCGCGCCTCGAAATCGAAAACCGGCAATCGAAGACCCCGAACCCAACGAAACGTTGAGTCCAGAGCCTGCTGGCATTCACTGTCTTATGGACGCACAAAAAGTGATAATAAAGAAGGAAAAGAGGATCCAGAGCGTGAAGTGCAAGAAAAGGTGTCCGGGCTAGCGCGTGCCAAGATAAGTGGTCTGAGCGTTTCGGCGCTGTCTCCGAGATGGACATCACTTGGCGTTGCCAACTTCTCGTCTCAGTTGTTCCTTGTGCGAGCTGGAAATTTAGTTGCTGCAACGACTTACTGTGAGTCCGAAGGCTTTCAGAATAACTTTCGATCGAGTATAGAAGAGGAAGATGAAGAGAAAAAAAAAGCATTGATAGAATTGAGCTACACCAAAAGTCAAGGGTATCAATGGCTCGCTGTCAGAACCAGGAGCGGATATATGTACGTAGAATTGATGCAAGGCAATGCAAAAAGAGTCTTTCCCTTCCTGCCTCCTTCCTTTTCATTACCGCTCGCTTCTCATCTTTACAGTATGTATCCGCCGGGTAGAACTTCCCTCCAAGATCTAAGTGGCTTACGATCCTCCAATTCAACAACCCACCACAGTGCCTCCTTAGCTTTTCCGATCTCCTTACTCAACTCATGAGCCCTAGCAAGTGCGAGCCAAGCCTCAGAGTTATCCCATCCGCTTCCCAATTTCGTCAAATTGGAGAGAAGCATGTATGCTCTGTCGCGGGCGGCAAGGCGATTTAATTCTGCCGGGGTGGGCTCTGGTCTGCGCTTTTTGTGGCCATCCTCCACTTCTGGTTCGATGGGGCGAGAATCACTAATGTAAGAGGCGCGCCGAGATGGAATCGTGCTTGTTGCAGTGTTAGGTCGGGTAAGTGATGGCTTGGCTTCGCCAATGAGGGAGCCGGAGGTCGAGGCTTGAGGATTGACTGGGTGTAGAGGCTCTTCCAAAGGCAACTTCTCCTCGTACTGATCCAAAAGTAGATTAGCGAGTCCGATGATGCCAGATGCATGATCGGGGCTGTAGGAGAGGGCTTGTTCATAGTCTGGGATTGCTTCAAACGGTCGTTCGCGCGTTAATGAAAGGAAAGCTTTCTGCACAGCTGTTAGCGCATTCATTGCGCTCAAACGATCTCTGACTTACCGTTGACCACACGTCAGCCCACAAATCATCAATACTCTTGCCACCTCCCCATCCCTTTTCGAACAATCTTCGAGCGTTGATGCCATCTTCCGAGGCAGCCAGCTCCTTCTCAAGACCCTCGACGAGCTTGAAAGCATGCTCTACAGCATTCTCGGCATCATCGAATGAGTCTGCTCGGATGTATAGGGCTCCTACGAATAGCCATATCTTTATCAAGACGCCGACCTGATGCCGTCTTTCATGCAATGGCAGTAGCCGTGGTTCGGAGACAGCTGATGCAGATGCCGGATGTGGTGCTGGTAGCCGAAGGTCCTGCACAGGCGGTTGATCATGATGTCCTATTGGGAGCGGCCACTGATCAGGGGGCCTTTGATGAGCGATACCTTCCAAAGGCTGCTCAGGACTTCCGTCGGCGCCTGCTTTTGCTGTGGCAGGTAGAGGCGATGACTTCTCCATAGGAGACTGATTCTCATCTTGCTCTGCAATGCTCGTTGTGGACCTTGTACTAGCAACGCCCTTATGTCGACCATGGAAAGGAAGATGCAGATGATGACGATGATGTGATTTGCCAGCTGGGCCTCCCTCCTCATTCGTCACCGTGATCGAGATCGGAGGGCCCAGTGTTTGACCGTTAGTTGAGGGTTGCAGGCGTTGTGGAGGAGACGACGGTGCATTATCGTCCTGAGAAGCAATAGATCTTTGCCTCGACGTTGCTAAATCAATGCTACTGCGTCTGGATCGCAAAGAGCGCGGGCGAATGCTGCCCGTAATGCTCCTGAGAGTGCCGCCAAGCCGCGAGGGAGTGGTGGCGGAAGCCGATGTTGCAGGTGGCCTTGCTGCTTGCGTTGCGACATGTTCGGGATTCCCGTATAGTTTTGAGTACAAACCAAGCAAGCTGTCAGTAAGATCAAATGCAGCATCTGGCCCTTCCATGAGCTCAAGTAAGATGATCTGTGTCATTCTAATTTGAATGATGCTCTCTTTCTCGAAGCCTTCCATTTGATCCACAATCCCGCGTGTATTTGGACCAAGTGGTTCTTTCTCAGCGTCGACCGTGAGACCTTGCGGCGTGCTCCCAAAGAGGACCTCTGAGTTGCCGAATTGGCTGTACGCAGCGTCACAAATTTGCGATGCAGTCTCGAATTGATCTTGCGCAGTCAGACAGAGAGCAAGCATGTGCCAAAGCGCAAGAAGAGGTCGTTCACGCTCATGGTGCTCGTCCGTTGCGGCATCGCCGTTAAGCATTACAGAGTCGTCAAGTGCAATCCGGATGACCTGCAGTGCTGCATTAATGTCTCGCATCTCCCCGAGCACAGCGGCGAGGGCATAAGCTGTTTCCCTGTTGTTTGGCTCAAACTTTTGTGCTCGGCGCAGATTATTATTCGCTTCCGCGAGCAAAGATGACCTAGTGCTGGACTCATAAGTCAGATGTGCCCATCGTGCTTGAGTAACACCAAGCGCTCGATAAGCCGCCGCCAGTGTTGTTGGCTGGAGTGCCGATTCGGTCGATTCCATCGACTTCTCGGTCACGTCGCCGTTCGTGAGGGTCGAAGTGCTAGTTGAAGGACGCTTTTGTGAAAGCCACTTTTGGACAATGGCACTAATTTCGTTCGCCCTTTCTGCCTGTTCTCGATCACCATATTGGCATAACAGCTTGATAGCTTCTGTCGCTGCGAGGATTGCAGTGTCATCGCCATCAACCCCAATTTCATGCTTGCCAGTCTTCTCGGCTCGAGCCTTGCCCTTGTCCACGATTTCCGTATAGCTGTCAAAAGCATGCATTGCTAGGTCGAACTCGCCCAGTGCCGCGTGCAGGGTGAATAGATGTCGAAGTATCGGGGTCGAGTGAAAGGTCTTGGTTGCCGCTCGATAAAGTATGTCCAGAACAGCTCGCGAGACGGATTGCTTTCCTCCTTTGCCCAGATCTGCATCGCTCCAGTCCGAACCTGTGAAGAATCTCCAATTGGCAACAACTTGATCTGCCCATTCTTCAAGCTCGGTGTTAGCCTGACTAGCTTTGGGAAACTTGGTCTCCTCTAGCAGAAGAGATTCATACGCTGACTCAACGCGAAGGAGCTCCGCTCGCTGTCGTCGTCTTGCGGCAACTCGTTCCGTCTCGGATACGGATGAAGTCAATGGCAGGAATTCGATAGCAGAGCCTTTCTGCTCTGGGCCATAGATCAATGCGTGCTGGAGGACACTCGACAAAAGGTCATAGTAGGCTTTCCAGACCTGCCTTCGGGGAATCTCGAGCCCGGATGGAGTGGTGGCGCCTTGGTGGGTCGGCGCTCTGTGCCAAAATTCACCCCACGCTCGAAAAGGACGGTGCGCTTCTGCGAAATCGCTGGCGGAAGGTGATGGCATCTTTTTCACACTGTACATGCATGCCCTCGCAAGTAATCTCTCGGTCCATCGTCGCAATTCGAGACTCCTATATCCAGGCGTGTGGGAGACTGCATGCTGGTATAGCTCCCTCGCCTCATTCTTGCGCTCGAGCGCGTCTAGGCATGAGGCTCGAATGAAAGAGCACTTCACCTCGCATACTTCGAGCCATCCCAATGTCGCTGTAGTAGCCTTCGTTGCGGGAGCTCTGGGTGGTGAGGCGTCGAGGACTTGTAGAGCGTCTTGCGGCGTGTCCTGTAAGCAGTATATTTGTGCGAGACACGTGCCTGCTATGAATGAGTCGTCTGGGTAGGTCTGCTGCGCTGTCGATACAGCTTCGGCAAGACGAGGCAGGAGCTCGGCGAGGCCGTGGATGCTCGTTGAGGCTTCAGACGAGGGACGATGGGAAGCGCTGGCGACGTGCGATTCTGCGCGCGCGGCAAGGGTCAGACCTAGGCGATGGCGGTTTCAGCGAAGTGTTCGTTCTGCCATCAACATTTGTATGGGCGGCGTACATTTTCTTTGGGGCGCATGTTTCTCGACCTTTCGTGCCAGCTCGGGCACATGGTCCCACTGGGCATTGCAAAGCGCGTGATCCAGCAGGCTCAAGTATCTGGCAGCCTTGTCGGCCTTGGGCGGCCTGTGGACACTCATGGCGCAGCAGCACGCTTCACACCGAACTTGCAGTCGCCAGCGCTATGGAAGCCGCATGTTCACGCTGCGCGCTTCGAGAGCATGTTCGAAGCTGCGCGAACGGTGCGAGAGCTTGCAAAGGTGTGCTGTGTATCCGAGTCAAGCCGGCTTCTCTTCCTTCCTTCCCATAGTTCTGCAATATGCGAGAACGTGCACTGGCACCTTCCTTGACGGCAGGCGACAGGGATCGGCCATGCACGCGCGCGTAGATCCGCCGCTAGTCATGCAGCTTCTTCTCTTTTTTTGAAAAAACGGAAAGATGTACTGGTAGGCGGCTACTTGAGAATGGCACAGGCACAGGCACAGCCGTCTCCGTACTTATTGAGCACTTTGCGCGCTGTGACATATCGCATCACGACCACTCCGCCCCATGAACTGCCACTGGTCGCGGCCCAAATTTCCGCCTCCATCTGGAATTGCAGAGATCTGATCAGCTTGCCATCGGAGAAGAAACAGACCCGCGAGACCGCCGAAATCCTGAAGAGCTTCCACACTCGTCTTGGCTCTCTCCTGCAAGAAAGGAGCATTGAAGGAAGATGGGCGGCTGTCGTTCTCGTCAAGGCGACAATCGAAGCGGGAGGCCTCCAAGTGCTTAGCACGTGCAACGCCTGGGTCAAAATCCTGCTTGGCTACCTCAAAAAGCCAGACCCTCCAACCACGCGCAATTTGGCCCTGATCACGCTCACTCGCATCTTCATGCTTACATGGGACTACGCCAATCTGGTGCGCGACATCACCACTCCCAGCTTGACAGCCTTGCTCCCCATTTGTCTATCGAATTTGGAAAACAAGCGTTGCTCGTCGAGCGAATTCCAGACCATACTCGAAGCATTTGTCACCTTATTACCAAGGCACCCGACCATATTCCGAAACAACGAGGCAAGGCTACGTTCTATCCTGGCATCCGTATTGTCTGGCGTCAGCTTGCACTCCGGCGCCCCACTTGCCTACTCTGCCTCTCAACAAGCCGCTGCGGAGCGCGTATTGGTGCTGCTGCATCATTGTGCGCCCAAGCAGGGAAGTGGTGAGAAATGGATTGATACGTGGAAGGCACACATTCACGCCGCTCACGCCACATGCGACAGAGTCTTTCGCGCGATCCACGAGCATTGGCAGTCAGGAACTGCTGTCGAGCCTTCGGCCCCTACGCATAAAATACTGAACGGCGATCTTGAATCGGAGAATGAGGATGCGGCCGGCCTCAAGCCTTGGAAAGGTGTATATGCTGGCGCACAGAGGCTAGTTGCGTTGCTCCGCATCATTGAAGCACATTTGACCACCGCAACTTCTACATCCATCTCCGTGCCGATTGGCATGCTAGAAGATCTTCTTGCCAGGATTTTCAGTGTTGTGCCGGCAATAGCCAAACAGGATAGCCTCAAGCCTAACAACCAGATATCCAAGCATGAACGCGAAGCCATGTTTGCAGCCCTTCCAAGCATTCATGTAGCTGCCCTCCAGCTTACTGCATCCGTCCACACCAGATTCCAGTTAGCCGCTTCAGCTCTTACAAATATCACGATCGAGCAGATCCTGCCTGTATTCCAGGCTCAACACGATGACAGCGTTCGCGAGGCAGTTTTCGCCCTGGTGCAACACTTCATCGATCGCTCTGGTTTGTCGATGACTCGTAATGAAGTTTCTGACCTGTCGCCTATCCTGAAGGCTGCCTGTCAGGAAGTCTTTCCTGCCGGTGAGCTCAAGTCCCAGTCACAGAATGGCACAGGCGGCGTGAAGCAGCAACTAGGTCTGTCCGGCGGCCAAGTCACACAGAGTCACCCTACGCAGAGGTCTACTGTCGTAGAATCGGCCAGAAACCTCCTCTACGCAGCCCTTCGAAAGGTTGATGCTGCAGCGCTGTCTCCTCAGATTCGTGCTCAGATTGACAGAGCCGCCATACTCACGCAAGATCGGCAGCTTCTCATAGCAAGCGTTATGAATCCGGCGAGGAAGAACAATACCAGCCAAAGTGAAAGCAGCCTCATGCCATTCTTGGCTCGAGAATTCGGCGATTGTATTGAGACCGAAGCCCTCCTCCGACCGCGCATGCCTTTGATACGGGTAGCAAAATCAGGGTACGAAGGCGTGGACGCGGACGAAGCGGACCATGCTTCCGATAATGAAGAGGAGAATGAGGACGACGACTTTGAAGAAGCGGAGGATGTTGACATGGAGGCGACTCAAGAATTTGGCAGCACTGAGAATGAGGGAATGCAGGAGGAATTACCTCCGCCTGACCCGAGCTCCGATGCAGCACAAGGTGCCGATGAAGATGCTTTACCAGCCGACAGCAATACCGCCACGACTACTTCCGATATCATTTCCGCAAGCAAACGCAGGGCAGACGAAAGTGCGGATGCAGAAGCCGCAGTCAAGCGTGCGAAAACCATGTCACCAAAGCCAGAAGTCGTCCCGGCAGTCGCTCCAGCGCCTGTGAGCTCTTCTCAAGCAAATTTTGCAACCGCTGTGCCAGAACAGCCCGACTTTGGCGATGATGATAGCGATCTTGAGATTCCAGCTCTCAATCCGGATCCGGATACAGACCCAGAGGACGCTGCGGAGGATAGCGAGTAGAAGGTCGGAGCGGTACTAGTAGGTAGGAATGTTAATCCTTCGCCTCAATTTGGCGCATAGAATTTCGCTTCTGCCGTGGTTTGGTATTGCGAGAATCTGCAAAGGCACCCCAACGCCACGACAGCACCAGTCACGAGGAAACACGGAGAGACATGGAAGTGAGATGTGGGAGCTCACCGCGACGAATGGCAGCCTTCTTGCTTCAGTATCATCTGTCGTCATAGAGAGCTTGAAAAGCGCATTCAATAGCATATCAACATGAATATCAAGGAAGCGAGAGAACAAGTGAGCTTCAGTAGGTAGCTCCCTTCGACGAATAGCATCCTGCTTGCTTCGGTGTCCTCTTGTTGTTGCAGCGAGCTTCGCAAGAGACTCCGACGCCATATCGATGCGAATGTCAGGGAAGCGAGAAGAGACAAGTGAGCTGTATCGATTCCTCAATAAGTAGAGCTCTAACCGTCTCCGAGACATCGAAATCGCACAATGAGATCTCGACACCTTTGCAACGCTCCAGTTATAGAGTTATGAACAGAAATGTGAGGATGCGGAACTACTTCACAACGTGGATGCCTTCAATTTCATTCCGAGCTATGGACAACGCGAAGACCGACTTCGTCGCCATGCTCTCCTATCTGTCTCCGAGGCAATGCTGCCCAGGCATCTCAAGTATAAACTCAAAACTCCCTAACAAAGCAATCCCTCCATTCCCAAAGCCCAAAAAAAACATTCATGTCCAGTCCAAACACCACACCCACAGTCCATCAACAAATCACGGAAACGTCAACCCCCAGCTCGTCGGAATCAGACTATGAAGCCTCAACATCGCTTGAGCAGCCCTCACACAACAAGATCGATCCTGGCACGAATACAGCTCCTCTCCCAGCGTCTTGAACCATCTCTGCCGCAAAAAAAAATACTGACCCGCTTGCGACTTTCCAATCATGCCCTTCGTCCCAGACACCACCACTCTTCTACGTCAAAGCTTCGGCGATGCAGTCCATATCATATTCGAGCTGTTCACAAGCGTCCAGCAAGTTGCGCAGGGAACGAGGAGAGGTGGCGCTCGGATCAGAAGAACTGAAGGTAGCCCAGAGATCGCGGTGGTTGGTGATAGTAATCTTTGATACGTTGAAGGCGGTCTGGTGTAGTGTCAAGTTTGAGGATCGGGCAGTAGAGGCTGAAGCAGGAGGAAAGAAAGCCTTGGGAATCAGGGTGTTGGCGCGAAGGAGCTCGAAGTCTTGCACGGCTTGTGGATATTTCCAGCCCCAGCCGTTGCTTTGGAGACAGAGGAAGACGAGTGTAGAGAAGATCTCGAGGATGGCCAGAGGCACGAAGAATGTGTAGCGCAAGTCGAGGACCAGAAGAACGCAGAGGAGGGTGGGAGCCATGTCGGATTCCATTATGGCGGCGAGACCGTTGATGAAGTAGCTCGACATCTTCGAGGTTGTACAGAAGTGCTGTATCAGGACCGGTTTGCAAAGAAGGAGGATTGCGCGAGAAGTGGTCGAAAATGGCGACTCGAAGGGGCGCGTTGGTGGATGTAGGTTGTATGACGTTCTCGATAGTTGTGGTCGCTGTGGATGACAGTACGTGTGTCAATACAAGTACAGTGTTTCAGGGAAAGTTTCGAGTCTGCGTGCTCAACCGTGGTGTCTAAAGCGTAGAAAGAAGTTGGTCGAAGGAGAAAGTTTTATATCGAGGGAACAGTGAATAAACCGCCCATGGGGACACGGCGTTCCAAATATAGTCTCGAAATCGAGTGAATTTTATAGCGACAATAGGAAGAAAGTGAATGGAATCCGCACTTCGCGTTCGTGAAGTTCTGGCGTTCTGAGGGGAATGCATTGTCACTGAGCAAGCTCCGTTCACACAGAAGTGAGATCCGATTTGCTGCCGTCACCATCTGGACTATCAGGAGTATTCTGGTGACAGGGCCAGCGTGAAGTCCTGCTTGGCGGCGGGCTCCAATGGCAAGAGGCGGAAGCCAGCTCATCAAGGCTGATGCTGCCATCCAGAGCAGCTTTGCTCTCCAGCCATAGTCGGGCACGCGTACTTTTGTAGTCTTTCGATCATAACTCGTAACCTGCGGCCTTACCAGAGCCAACGCATGTCTCAAACCTTGCTCTTTCATTCAGCCTGACGCAATGTTGCACACCTGGAAGACAACCGCATCTCGAATGGGTGTCGGGCTGCACTGATATTGATTGCATTCTCACTCTGCGATAGCGCTATAGGGCCATGCTAAAATGCCCATGGCGAATATTCTGACAATACACAATAGCTCAAGCGCTCAAAACATCACAGAACTGAAACCCGGCAAAGAGCACCTGGCCTTTGTCCCGGGATCTCGCTCGTCGCAGAAAACACACTGGCGTAGTCTGTTGTTTCTTCTTCATCTTCATTCCATGCCCTTCCTCATGCTGAGGCTAAGATATGCCCCGCTAACATGCGCTCGGCACGCCGCGTTCCCAAAAAGTTACCTCCAACGCCATACTATGCGATGCAGAGCAGGAAGCAACGCTCGAAGGATTGCGAAATATTCAGCTTGCTGTTGATTCGTCTCGATGTCCAACCCTCTGCTGCAATGGTCAAGCCAGATTCTATCTAGATCTTGACTTCTTTCATCTCGTCGTCAATGGCCATGGGAGGCACGTCCTCCTCTTTCGCGGGTGACAACGGACTCGTCTCTTCATCATCATCGCTGTTGCTCATCACAGTGCTGCCAAGGCGGCTTTTGGGAAATGGTTGGCTGCTTCTCCGATCTTCCAGCTTCCCGTTCGTCTGAGGTATGTTCTCCTTGTCTTCTCTCGGATGTGTGGAGGTCGGCGTTGACACGACCGATATCAGCTTGTCCTCGCTTGGTGCAACAGATGTATCGAGCGTCAATGGCTGTGGCTGAGTCTGAATTGGGCTCTCTTCGGTCACTCTTGCAAGTGGACTGCCCATGTGGCCTCTAGGGCTTGATGTACCAACAGGCGCTTTGCCATTGGAGTACCGGTGTGGTGACCTGCCCCGGTCCTCTTTTGTAGGAGATCCGTATGGGGAGAATCCGTTTGCGCCAGGCGAGACATTACTATTGATTCGCAATGGGCGCTTCTTAGGGGCTCTCCTTCCATACTTCTGATCCGTTCTCCAACGCATGATGTCAATGTATGCTGGCTCAACTCCCTGCTTCGGAAACTCCCGCAATTTCAGCTCTTTCGTCTCTTCATCAATGAACCACTTGTCGGTGTGCATATCGTCCGCGACAGTCGCGAGGAAAGCCGACCATGATCGTGAGATGACGTACTTGCAGTCATAATCGCGGCCCATGAGGATAACTTGTCCCCATCGTCCAGTCGGACCGGGCGCGAGATCTACAGCAATGTTGTTGCCTCCCCAATCTCTTGCCAGTGGGATCCAAGCTGGATGCGAGTATACCTTCTGAACGGCGTTTGGAGGTTGCGAGTCCTGCTTTTCTAGCAGCTCTTGCCGCCACTGTGGATTGTTTGGCGACTGTGGCTGCGCCATTGGCACTTGTGCGGAAGAGGACGAGCCAGCAAATGCCTTGAGTGGCGCTTGCGGAATCTCGAACGTCTGTCGATCACTGAAATATGCTTCGTTGACCGTTCTCCATTGCTGCCACTCCTGAATGATCTCCTCGCAGTCGAGCAGCATACAGCCAAAGATGACTCCCGTCGGCTGACCGCCTCGCTCTTGCCCATCGTGAATCTGCAATGATTCGCGCACTTCCTGAGGTAATGTGCAGTCTAGCTCGTGCTCCAGCTCATTCACGTCGTTGACCGTGGCGCCCATGCCAAGATTCTCGAACAGCTCTTCGTAGTTGTCCTCCAGCCATCGGTCAATCCGCTTCCAGGAGTGGATGACGGGAGGCGGCGGTGGTAGTCCATCCTTGAAGCTCTCCATCTGGATCCCGCCTTGACCAACTTCGGCCATAGACTTGCCGTCCAAGGCAGAGCCTTGTCTGGACAAACTGTTCCGCTGAGGCGAATAAGGGGGGCTCGTGGTGCTGGTGACGAAGCCATTGCCGGCTTCCAGGTCGAGATCTGTTCTCGATTCAAGCGCACTCGTATTGCTGGGCGACGTGATGCCATTGCGCGACTGTGAAACTGGTATGCGGCCGTTGCGGTAGGAAGCGTCTGGTCCGGCGTGTCGATCGTTGGAGGTCATGGTATGCCAGAAGGCGCGGAAGTGCGAGGCCAACCTATTGCCATTGGCGTGGTCAGTATGGTGCATGATGGCTGTGATGCGGCTGGCGCGGTGTTGCGCGTGGAGGAGGATGGGGGAATGCGAAGGAAATTTTGTAGGGAGACGTACGTAGGAGGAGGCATGTTGTGGTGACACGAGTTTGGGCGGCGCGGACGCCAACGGTAGCGACTGTCAACAAGGGGGAGGGGAGGGGAGGGGAGGGGAGGGTAGGGCGGCGGTCAAGTGACTTGGCGGTGGTGTCTGTGGGCAATAATGCTGCGTGCTCGCTTTCCGCTACGCTACGCTGCGCTGCGCTGCGGTCTGGCTCTGGCTCTGGCTCCCAAGTCTAACGTTAAGGAGAGTGGCAGGGATATCAGATTCAGGCTTGCCGGCCGGCGTGAATAGGTAATAAACTAATAATGTTCAAGTTTCGTGCGTGGACACCAGGACCACTCTGCGAGCCGCGATGTACGTCAGACGTCGCGGTCGCGGTCGCGGTCGCGATTCTGATTCTGATTCTGCGAAGAACACGTGTTTCAACAAATGATACATATAATCACTGCTCTCGGCGTTGCGATGAGGATCAATTGTTCCGTTCGTGCCTAATTGCCATGTTTTGCAAACATCAACACACGCATTGCCAGGCCAGGTAATGAATCACGACGAACGGATGCTGCACGACGGCACCATGCCGAATCCCTTCAGCAACGAAGAGCCGCCACAAAGCTTATGGCCTGCCTTACGGGCGATAGTCGATAGACCTTCCCTTCATCTTGGGTCCATCATCCATTATACCAAATTGGCCCTCTGAATGTATCTCGCCTCTGTTATTACTCCGGCCCGGCCAAAGTTGTCCTTGCCAAATAGGCTCTGACATGCTGCCCCGTTCTGTTGTGTGTATAGCATTGAACCTACAATATGCGAATGCCGCCTCCAATCAAATTAATGTAAACCCAATCCTGGCTAGCTTATCTCATTCTGGATTCTGGAATACAGCGTCAACGCACATCGGAGTGAAAGAGCGCTTATGCATTCCAGGGTGTCGCGACCCTTGCTTAGCGGCACCGCTTGCTATACAAAGTATAGTGTGACTAGGTGTTAGAAGCCAATCAGTGCGATTGTTAGGAACTTCAGTTCTTCAGCTAGTTTAGTAACGATTGGGGTTAAGAAGGAGGGTGTTTTAGAAGCCGTATAGAAGGCTAGTTTGAAGCCGTATAGACAGCTAGTTTAGTAACGATTAGGGTTAAGAACGAGGGTGTTTAAAGCCGTATAGAAGGCTAGTTTAAAGACTATAGACAACTGTAGACAACTAAGTAAGCGCTATGCTATCTACTACTGTTTTTAACCGCTATTAGCGTTAATTACTATACGATAGCGAGCCGGCATACTATTAATCTATTGTTGTACTAATTCTATAGATACGTTATAGTATTCTTCGACAATTGCTAGCTAAAGGTTACAGCTAGTAGGTCTGTTTCTGCGGCGTTTAATTGCCTACTTAATTACTCGCTATAGGTTCTCGATAGGGTTCAAATCTAGTAATAAAGGTAGCTAGTTGTCTATAAGAATAATGCGGCGAGCTCGTAACTAATTAAGTATGTGTTTAGCTCTATATATAGGCGCCGAGTCTTGTTAGAAGAGTGCTGTTCTTAAGTGTAAGGCAGGCTCGTAACCGAGAGGGTATTCTTAGTTAGTAATAAGGCTATTTATACGACTAATCTCTTCTTAAACTAGTAGTAAGACCTTCTTATAGTATAACTCTTTGTTAATATTGCCCTATATCTTATCCTATAGTAGGAGTAGTCCTTTGCCGCTAATACTACTAATATAGGCCTATATTATCTAGTATAGAAGGCGTTAGAAGCGAAGCCTTAAACAGTAGTCTTAGTTGCGCTTACTAACTAGTCGAGTAACAAAGAGCCTCTCGTATAATCTATTGCGTATAGTACACTCGTCGCTCTATAGAACGTTTGCCTAGTCTTCTTTAGTAAAGTGTTAATAGAATTAAGCCTATTCGAGGCGTAGGCGTCGAATACGGTCGTTATAGAAGGGCTAAGGGCGTATAACGCAGCGGCGATAACTATGCCTTCTATAGATACGAGAGACGGTTATAGGACTATAATTTAAACCGAGTAAGTCTCTAACTTCCGTCTAAGTTATACGACGAGTTGTAGCGTTCTAAGTAATATAGTCGACGATAAGGCGCTCTTAGGTGTCTATATAGAGCCTGCGGCTACGTCGTCGAGTTAGTACGTAGGTAAGGGCAATCTCTTAAGGAATAGGGCGCGAATAGTCGAATTCGTCGATTCGGTAGGCTCGGTAGCGCCTAGGAGTAAAAGGCTTATAAACGATATAATAGATAGTCGATAATGCCTTACGAGACTACTCTAAGATATAAATAAGCGGCTATTTGGCTATTCGGTGCAGTTGTTTAATAGTAGTATATAGTTTATATAGAAGTACGGCTCGGCGGTAGACTCGCTATTCGGTAGTTTATTAGGTTGCGATTTCGTACGTTAGCAATAGCCCTAGCGGTCTAAAAAGAAGGGATTTAATACTCGGTAGAGTTAACTAGCTAGATAGACGATTTGCAAGTAGTATAGCAGGCAGTATCGGGTGCGATAAATTAGTATATTATATCGATAGAAATAGCTAATCGCTTTAGAAGGAGGTATTAGAAGTGTTAGAAGAAGCTAGTGCCCCGCCTTCGGAGCTTTAATTCCGATCTAATAGGAATCGCCGGGTCCGCGGGCTAATCCGTACCGAGGCTAAGTTATTATCTAAAGATTAAGACTCTTATTTAGTTAAATCGATAACCTTAACCTATAAACGACGTATTTAGCTTAGAAGTTACTATTCAAGCTCGCGCTACTCTCGAAGTTGTATCTCCGACTTATTATACTCCGGCGGACGGTCGTAAATAGGTAGTAGAATAGATAGTATACGGTCGCGCTATTAGATATAGAATTAATAGCGTAGAGGGTTGTTAAACTATAGAACCTAAGGGCGACGAGATTGCGACAACTGCGATAGAGCCGGCCTTAGTAGACTTCTAGACCGATAAGGCAATAGAGCTAGATTAAATGCCGGTGTTAAACTAAGTAAATAGATAGAGGGTATAACTAATAGTATTAGACTTCTACGGCCGCTAATAACGTCGGAAAGCAGGCGTAACTATGCTCTATCTTTCTTACCTTGTTCGAAGGCTTTAATAAGAGCTAGACGGCGCTAGTCTAGTAAACGGTATACCTCTAGAAGATTGGTATATCGTTGAACTTAATCGCGAAGAGCCGGCGTACTACGAGTGCGAATAGCGCTAGAACAACCCCTTCTATAGCTATACTACGCGTGCTACTCGTTAGTGTAAGTATACGGTATTATAAAGGAACGAGAGAGAAGCTAACTATTTAATAGGGGACTCTATATACGTAGATACTACCGAAAGCACCTATTTATCGCCGACTACTCCTCCGCGCCTCCTTTATAATTACACTCTCGAATACTATTAATCTAGTATAGACCTACTCCTAATTATATAACGACCTTTAGCTTACTTCTAAATTACTCCTTCTTCCTTTCTTTAACATTGCAAAAAGCTTATAAAATGATATATTATTGAATCTACTAAAAGATAGTCTATATATACCCTAGATAGTGCCTATACGTAACTTCTAAGCCCTCTAGTCGGAGGAATTAATAGCTAAGCCTTCCTATAGGTGCTATGCTTAGCCGCGGCGCCAACACCTCGATTTAGTGTAGGACACTGCAATTAGCGGTGCCGGAAGTGCTAATATTATGCACCTTCCAGGGCTCCGGACGCTAACTTTCACTCCGATGTGCGTTGACGCTGTATACGGTCGAACATGGATTCAGCAGGCCTTATGGTCTAGCCCTCCTTCTTCCGAGATTGAGGAATACAGGCTTCCTTGTCCAACACATGAGCACCTTGAATTGTATGGATAATGGAAGGCAGACGTTACAGTTGGTGGCAGCATTGACTGCTGCCCTTTTATAGGGGTAGAAATCACTTACATATCTTAAGAAAGCTCCCTCCCTCCCGACCGCTGCTTGTCCGTCTTTCCAAGTTTATCAGCCACCGCTCGAGTCAAATCCACAAGATGCAGCTTACGACCCTTCTCTCCTTCCTTCTAGCTTTCGCTAGTATAGCATCTGCAACCGTTCAAGGCTTCAAACCTATGTATGTACTATCGCCTCGAGGGATTGATCCCACGTGACGAATTGGCAAAAATGATGGCTCCTCCTCCAAGTGCCCCTCCAAAAACGTGTGCAAGGACATTGTATACGCCATACCGTTCAGAGAGCCTGGAGTGGTTCGTGTTGGCGTTCAGGATGCTGGTTTCAAACATGAAACTGCAGTGTCGCCGAGAACTTGCAAGACCAATCAAAGCCTGCCTTTTTTTTACTCGCTTCTGCACCTAGAAACCATTGCAGTGATAGATTCGAAGGTGCAGCGCTCAGTGCTGCCATAAATTTCGCGTGCTATTCGACCTTATCCAAACAGAAATTCCGCAACCTGGTAAACAAAAATCCCGCTCCGAATCATCATGCGCTTCGCAGCTGTGCCAACCTCAGAAGACTTGCAGAGACTTTAATGAAAGGCCAAAAGCGATCGCGACGCATTCCCAAAAAAAAAGAAAAAGACATAGCCTCCTTGTGGCTCGCAAACGAACAGCTGCGAAATTTTCGCTCTCGCAGACACCATAAGAACACCTGTGTAGAGGTATCCATCATCCTTGATTCAATCAATTCATCTCGCATCTTCTACTCTGGCCGAGCAATCTTGCGCAAGTCCTTCTTCAAAATCTTTCCGCTTGGATTGCGAGGGATCTTGTCGATGAAGGCGATTTCGATCTTGCTGACCTTGTACGATGAGAGTCGTTCGTCCAGGAAGCGCTTGATGGCTTCGATAGTGACGCCGTCGTGCTTGCGGACGACATATGCGAAGGGGTGTTCTTCGATGTCGGTGTCGACGCCAAAGACTGCAGCTTCTTCGATGTCATGTTGGAGTAGCTGTAAGGCGTCCTCAATCTCTGTCGGCGAGACTTGGAAGCCGTTGACTTTGACGAGGTCCTTGGCACGGTCGACGATGTAGACTTTGCCGTCTTGGATATAGCCTACATCGCCTGTCTTGAGCCAGCCATCTTCGGTGAACATTTTCTTCGTCTCTTCTGGATTGCCATAGTAGCCTTGCATAACATGTGGTGAGTGCATATGCAGCTCTGCTACGTCGATGTCGTTGTACGTCGTAATGTTGTCTTTGGACTGTCGAATCTCGCAACCGGGAATCGGCCTACCCACCGCGCTGGAGTCATCCACCTCTGGGTATTTGAAGGTCGTGAACCAGCCTATCTCGGTAAGTCCATAGACAGCGGCAACACGAGGCGGACTGCTAGGGAAGATTGCATCCCACTTTACCTTCAACTCTGATGTGAAGGGAGCGCCGCCAGTGTAGACATTCCGGAGAGATTGGATCAGTGGGTGTGCATGAGGACAGTTGACGAGCATCTGAAGCATCGCAGGAGGAGCGAAGGCCTCAGTGATGCCATATTTCTGAACGTAGAGTGGCCATTGGACAATGTCGAAGCGCTTTACGAAATATGCCGGGATGCCGAGACGTAGGCTGTTGATGACCATCTCCGGTGTCGAGAAGGAGTGGAATATTGGTGTCGAAAACAGCCGACGGATCTCGTAAGACTTGAGAGAGTTGTTGTCTTCGACAGCAGCGGACTCCAGAACGGTGGCGCGCTGAGTGCGGGCACCCAGCTTTGGCAGTCCCGTGGTTCCGGAGGTCGACATTAGCGTTGCAATGGAGTCTGGATCAAAATGCCGCAATGCTTCGGAAAGTGCATCGCGACCATTTGGGCTCTGGATGTCATGCAAGCTCGGGAATTCAGACGCATTGCTGCTGTGGCAATGTCGCTTGTGGACACCGCAGCAATTATGCCGCCCAGATGGAGGGGGTGGTGCGAGCAAGTCGGTGAAGCGAATGATCTGTGCCTTCGTGCTGCTGCCACTAACGGCCGCACGAGCAGTCTCGAGTCGGTCGTCAGCGACAATGATGTACTTCGTTCGCGAAACTCGGATATGATGCTCCAGCTCAGGCGCCTTGTACGAGATGTTGGGACCAGTCCATCTGCAGCGATTCGCCCAGATTGCCAAGCATAGTATTGGATAGAGGATGTCATTGCCAATGTGCAGGCAGACTGTGCAGTCTGGCTCGAAGGCGCCGATCAGACTAGCGACGAGCTCGATAGCCTTGTTCTTAGTGATGAAGCGGCTCGGATCTGCGGCGTCGATGAGGATTGGCTTTTCTGGGTCGTAACGGCCTGAAAAGGTCCAGTCGACGATATTCGTATTCGCAGGATCCATGGTAGAGCGTGTGGGCGACGTTTCGGCTGGTTGAATGTGATTCGAAGCTGAATGTGCGGATCTGATGAGCGATTTCAGTTCTTGCTCCATGCTGTGCAGGGATGACGCCTTCACATGCAAAACGGCACTAGCCGAACTCGTGGTAGCCACGCGCTTTCAAACGGCTGAATGAGGGGTACTAGGTAACGTACTCGAGAGAAATCTCAGAAGAAGCTTTTTGAGATCTGAGATTTCGAATTAGGAGCAATGTCTGCACTGTGTTCCAAGAGTGTGTGGGCAAAAGGTGAACGACGGAAGCAGTGCGGTATGATGGATCGGAGGGGTTGATAAACTCTCGAGGAGCAGGAATCGTGCATTGAGTGCTAGTTAATGTGACCATTGTCGCTGAGTAGGTAATGGATGGTGCTTCAGAACAATAAGATTGTCCGAAATCGACGGCTATGTCGAAAGGCCTGCCAACGTGAAACCTGGCGAGAGTCACCAGGGATACTTCGAGTCGGCATTCACCAGCATTGCGTTATGTATGAGGATACCGAGAAGCTCGCTTCAGGTGGACTGAGCGGCATGTGATTGAAAGGCTTCAACACAGGATACCGCACAATGGCTGCCGCTGTGGCTCTCGGCTGCGCACAAAGAACACGCAGTGGCCAGTAAGATGAATGGTTGAGAGTGAGGCTGGATACGGACGCCAGTTCGCAATTTATTCAATGGCAGCTGCGTAGCTTTTATATGCCTGGGCGTCATACGTGGTCAACGGACCAGGCATCTCTATGCCAGGATACACGTACTCAGTGAAGCACAGAATCACCAGAGATCATGGCGCTTGACCAGAGTGTGAACGATGCTTGTGGTCTGCCAGCTGCGACCTTCATGCAGAGGAGTATGTCAGCTGCAATGTCAAGTGATGGTGCGCCTGCCAACCAAGGCTAATGCGAAGATCGATCCAAGGAGCATCTACATCCAGCTGCGCCGCTGGAAAACTCGTGAAGTGATCTATGACGTTCGCTATTGACCCCGAGAGGGAGACCCATAGCGAGTCACGCATGAGACCAGGACTCTCGGCTCACATCAGCAGTGGTGTGGCATGGACCTACGTCCGATTGGGACGGTGAGGACTGGATCCGCTACGTCAATGGCTTCTTAGATGGGAGCCAATTTATACTTCAGGAGCGACAAGATGCCAGAATAGCGACCACGAGCTGGATTACAGGTCCGCTACCACAGCGGGTGCATGATCAAAATCCCTTGCGCGACAGAACAGGCTAGTGGCAAGCCATCAACGCCACAGCTCGATCTTGAGGACAGCATGCCTGCTCCGGAACTGGCTCCACGTCAGGTAAGCATGGTCAGTCAAGCATTCAGAGGCCAGTGAGTTGGAATTTAGAAAGTAGTGGCAATCTGGTTCACCACGGTCGATACATCTGCTGGGCTCCGGCGCTGGTGTAGAGCAGGATCAAGCAGACGACGTCCAGTTAAGCTCAATTGCATGCGTAACTTAACATGCTGCGCGCCTCGGACTCGGTAGCATGGCACGGCACGCGACTGATACCAAGTAAGGTATACTGTACTGCCATGCAGCCCTGCTGTAGCCTGAATAGGACATACATAGGTCAGCCGCAGCGGAATTTGCAGCGTGTGTATATTGTTGCTTAGCATACACGTTCAGCGTGTGGAAGACATGTGTCGTGCAGCCGATGCGCAGACTGTAGACTGGGTGATGATTGTTCTCAGCAGGTCGGTGATTTGATCTTCCCAGTCTTCGACGTAAACTTCGCTCGAGCTTTCACTGCATCCACTGGCTTGACCCGATCATTAGCCGGGCCGCAAATTGTAGCTCTTGCCTCATGCACTGGCAGACAAACGCTTGGCGCGCAAACGAGGTTCTCTTTGACAAGTGCCACGCAATTTCGGATGCTTTGCTTTGTGCAAGCCATCAATGGCGCCAGTCCCATTCTCGCAGATCGCTACGCGTCATCCATCAACATCGCGGTGGGATCCGTTTGTACCACCATCCACCGAGCCTCCCCAGGAAAAGGGCGGGCCGGCATTACCGATGACCCTGTGCAGAACGCATTGTGATTCTTGCATTCTTCGTGCCTGTCGCCATTCACAAGCATCCGCCGTCACCAATGGAACATTCAAAACCAATGCCCGTGCCCGGCGAGGACGACTTCCCCGACGACAATCCTCACTTCTCTGCTTCCACCATATTCGAAGACATACAGCCAGACATGCCATCACACCGCCCGACACGCCCGACGCTGGCGCAGCGTCGCTACTCTGCGTATGTCTACGCCCTGCCACCACCATCACCAACACCTGGTGATCTCGAGTCGGCCGTCAGGGAGCCTGAAGTTGCTCACATAGCACGCCGCGACTCCGAGCACTGGCCGGTGGAGAGTCTTATCACTGTTCGGCCATCGGAGCGCTCGTTGCAACAGCTCCAACATTTGCGCCGCCCATCTCTCCCATCACGCGCGCCGAGCGACTTTTCGGTAGCGTCTGGCATCTCTTGCGAAGAACTCGAAGCACCGCCATCGCCAATACTGAAGAAAATCCAAGCGCATGGCCCAGGCACGTATAGATGCGTCGTCAAGAACGTCCGCGAGTGTTCGCACTCGTTCGACAGCATCGCCTCCCGCCTCGAGGGGCACACCAAAGTCAAACTGCAATTGGAGCGACTTAGTACTTATGAAGATAAAGTCGCTTCCAAAGGGCACCTCGACTACCTGATGAAGCAGTATCCGCTGCCAGTGCCCAAGCATGGCGGGCGATACAACATCTTGCGTTACGGCTTCTTCTCCGTCTATCGTCGCCTGTTCACGCTCATCTTCCTCATCAACGTGGCAACCATAGCCTATGCGGCCGTGCTCGCCTCCCGCGATGCGAGGCTGTTCACATATGCCGACGCAACTAGCGCCGTGGCGGCCAATCTCTTCGTCGGTGCCATGATGCGGCACGAGCACGCAGTCAACCTCATCTTTCGGCTGCTGACAGCACTCCCACTCTGGCTGCCACTCGCTGTCCGCCGCCAAGCCGCCAAAGTATATTCTTACGGAGGCATACACTCGTCGTGCGGCATCGGCGCTTTCATGTGGTACCTCTTCTTCGCCGTCTTAGTGATCAACAACTTCGACTCTGGCATGGAAGGAGAAATCCAAGGCTTGGCAGTCATCCTTGCCTGCATGATCTTCATCTTTCTGATCTTGATGGTCATGTCATACCCGACAATTCGTCAACACTTCCACAACCAGTGGGAGATATCGCATCGGTTCGCAGGCTGGACTGGCATCGGCTTCATCTGGGCTCAAACTCTTCTGATCACTTTTGCCACGGCACGAGACGAGAGCCGTGACCCTGGTGTCGCACTCATTACCACTCCATCATTCTGGTTCCTGCTCTTCACAACCGGCATCATCATCTACCCATGGCTACGTGTCCGACATCGAGCCTTCACCGTCGAACCACTTTCTACACACGCAGCCCGTCTATACTTCCACCACGACAAGGTAATGCCAACATGCAAGGGTCTCAAGCTCTCTCACTCTCCTGTTGTCGAATGCCACGCCTTCGCCAGCATTCCCAACCCCAACGGAGAGAAGGGCTACTCCGTCATCGTAGCCAACAACGGCGACTGGACCAAACAGCTCATCAAGAATCCCCCAGAGAAAGTCTGGGTCAAAGGCGCCCCCATCTCCGGCATAGTCCGACTCGCATTCCTCTTCCGCAGAATCGTCTTCGTAGCCACTGGCAGCGGCATCGGACCATGCATGAGTTTCTTCAACGCCCATCCAGAATGGGATGTACGAATCATCTGGGCCGCCAGGTTCCCCGCCACGAGTTTCGGCGTTTCGACAGTCGAAAGCGTTTTCGCGGCTGATAAGAATGCTTTGTTGATCGATACCAAGAAGACGGGGAAAGGTGGTTTGACGGAAATTTGTTATGCTGTGTACAAGGAGAGTGAGGCGGAAGCTGTAGTCATCATTTCTAATCCTGTGGGTACCAAAGAGGTGGTGTTTGCACTGGAGTCGAGGGGTGTGCCTGCTTATGGGGCGATTTGGGATTCGTAGGATGATGGGCTCGGAGTAAGAGATGAGGAACGGGACATCGCACGACGAGGAGATGGAAGAGATGTGTTGAGTTGGCTGTCGTTGCTGAGGGATCGAAGTGTCTCTTGGCCTGGCGCTATCAGTGGCCAGTATTTGTATGATTTTCGACTCGGCGTTGTCGGCGTCTTGAGGGCAGATTTTGTGATGTTTGATTTCTTGACAGCCATTGCAATGAACACGATGAGAATCCGAAATTTCGTCTCCCATTCCTAGCGTGTGCTCATCATGATCCCGGCGCCGTGAGTGCCAGTTGATCCGCAAGCTCCAGGAGCAGAACCGTCCTGTGATGGAATGAAATGATCCAGGAACGGACCTACAGCCTTAAACATGCTTTCTTTAGCAAGTAATATCTATGCCATCTACAGTACCTACTCCTACGTTTTGCCATCATCTCCCTTCTTCTCGCCCTCATCTTGCCGACCACCATCCGCCTTCTCCTCATCCTGATCAAAGAAAGCCTCCGAAGTAGGCTCAGGAGTCTTCTTCTCCTCTTCTTCAGCCTTCTTAGGAGACTCATCCTCCAAACTAACCTTAGCCTTGACCACACCAGAAATCTCCCTCCCAACAGGTTCAAATCCCTCGAGTTTCCCCAACTTCGCTTCAAGAAGTTCGACATCACGAAGTAATCTATTCTCCCCAGCTCGAGTCTTCACGTCAAGGTCATCGTAAGCTTGCGTCCATTGTTCTCGAACCGTAGCGAAGATCTGTCTCATGATCATCCCGACATCGACTTCTGATAGGTGTCGGGAGAGGGTGCGGTAGAGAACGAGAGTTTCTTTGGTGAATTGTTCCATGTATGCGTTCGGCTTATCGTCTGTACCGGGTTTGTCGAAGTCAACATTGCGCATGGTTTTGATGTGGAAGGCGGAGCGCGATGTCATGATATCGACGAGTTTATCGTGGACGCCGGATTGGTGGTCTTGGTAGAGGCGCTTGGTTTTGTCGAATTCCGCTAGGATACCGCCTTGGCCTGCTGGGATGTGTCTTCTGATGCATTCTCGCATGTATGGAATCAGGGCGATGACGAAGCCGAGGGCTTGTGAGGCCAATGCTAAGTGCTTTGTTGTGATGTTCTTAAGGCCGCCGACGCGAGTGGCGCCTGCACCGAGGATCATCTGATTCGTGCGGGAATTGAAGGCGCGGAGGACTTCCAAAAGGGAGGTTGAGATCTGAGATGTCATGCTCGGAAGCCAAGACGTGAGGGAGAGGAAAGTGTCAATGATGCTCAATAAGGAAGCAGCACTCGAGACAAGGACGTATCGGGATTCGTCAATGTAAGCAGGCTTTACAGCAGCTTTGCCGCCAGTCGCTGGTGTCGTGCCGTTGTTCGTTGGTTTATCGTTCGTGCCGTTAGATTGCTCAGGTGAAGCATCGCCATTCGCATTGGGCGGAGGGCCAGGCTCCTCCCAAATCTGCGTCGTGATCTTTGCCCATTCAGGAGAATCAGAGCTCATGCTTGCTAGTATGCGCTGAAGCACAATATTGTCCTTTTCTGAGAAGTCTTCCGCATTCCAGCTGTCATTCTCTAGCAGTGAAGCAGTCCTTTCTGCCTCGGCAGTGCCCAAGACTTGTACAAAACCTGATAGTTGAGCATTGATGATGCCTTTGAGGACGTTGCCCCCGTGACCACTGACTGCTTCGCACTCATCTGCAAACAAGCGATTCAGGGTGAAATACCGCAGGAAGAGGTGAAGGGGCAGTCTGATGGCTTGCTCATTGCGAACCTTCAACACTCGGCCGATCTGTGTTTGAGCTGTATCGACTGCTTGCCCAAGAAGACTGGACATGTCGAGAGCTTGGGTAATCTCTTCACGGACAGCGTTCATTGAGTCTGACTTCATGCCGGCTGCGAAGTGTTCGTTCGGTCCTTGTTCGCTGGGTGATCTTTGAGGTGCTTTGCTCTCCGGTGCCTGCATCTGGCTTGTTACATCCAGGATGATCTTAGTCTGAGTCGATACTCTTCGTAGCGCTTCGCTGATCGAGGTGTATACAGAAACGAACAGCTTCTCGGCACCTTCAGCATCCAAGGCTCGAAGGTTGCGGGAGAGGATCACGCTCTTTTCCTGCTGGGAGGGTCTGCTTCCACCTCGCGTTGAAGTCGATACCATACTGTCTGCATCGTCGTCACTACTACTAGGCAGAGACCGTCTTATGATGGACTTCACCTCCTTATTTACAGCCTCACGATATGCTGCAGCTGCCGGCGCTGTGTGACCTGCTCGCGCCAAACCATTCAAGGCAGACAATAAATCTTTCCTGAAGCTGTCGTCTGTTTCCATATATGTAGGCGGTATGCCTCTTTGCCGTGACCATCGTTTAAGCGTTTGATCCGAAGGTACTCGTGCCACATGCTCTCGTAAGTCTTTCATGAGTATCGATGCAAAGCTCTGAGCATATCCAGTGCCTATTCGCAATTGAAGCTCTTGCAGTCCAGAATCCAGTCCTTGCAGTGCTCTCAAGGGCCTCAGATCTATCAGTTCTCTATTGTCTTGTCCTGGCTCCTGATTTCCACAGACCAGTCTACCAACACGATCCATTTGATCTGCTGCCTCTGAGTATGCACCTGCATCAACGAGCTCGTCTGCTTTGACAATGTTCTCCACTACACTCTGAACTTGCGCTGTGGCAGACCGAAGCTTCCGCACGTTCTCACGTCGTCTTCGCTTCGCAGCAACTTCCAGTCCCGAGACTGCAACCTCTTTGTCAAGCCTTCTCAAATCGTCTCGCAAGCTCTGAATCTTGGCAACACTCTCTTCGGCTTCGGTTTGCAGCTCCTTCAGCGAACCTAGAGCAGCGAAAAAGCCACTACTCGCAGTGCTGATACTGTTGATCAAATGAACTTCCACCGTGTCCATGTACCAACTCAGCTTCTCTTGCAGAATGGCATTGGTAGCCAGTGCTTTTCGGGGAGGCTGTGGTGCGCCATTGGACGACTTCTGCTCTGCTTGCTGTGATCCCGGCGGAGGACGCACAATCTCAGATCGCTCAGACACGACATCGAACGTGCGTGGATTCTCCAGGTGGAAGTCCTCATCGAAGTAAACATTAGGTATGGTGGATAAGGGCGTAGGCTCGTTGCGATTGCGCCGAAAATGGGCGGAAGATCTTCGTGTGGGCTCGCTCGGTCGTTGCAGGGGTGATATGGGCGCATGTCGTAATGCATTGGGTGATACGGGTGTGGTAGGAGCCGAGTTGTCCCTGCTCAGCCTTCTCTCCAATGCCTCCGCCTTCTCCAATTCCTTGTCTTTCTTCAACCAGGCATGCTGCTCCGACTCCGCGCTCCCCCTCTGAAAGCTCTCGAACAGCGGGCCAATGCGATTGAGGTAATCACGGAAATGATCAGGAGGCACATGAGGCACATTTGTGAGGGTCACCGGCGGAATGTCCTTGGTGGTAGGCGGCTTGAAGCCTGCGGCGGCGGCTGAGGCGTGTGTATGTGGCAGCAGACCGGTACGCACAATCGGTGGCTGTAGTAGAGTCGATATGGCATTCTGGCTCGTTTCCCGCACTGTGCTCCGTCGGCGCGTCTGAATGTCCAAGCTACCGCCTATTGAGCCTACCGACATCTGACTGGCCGTGCTTCCCCTGCGCGACATGCGCCTGCTCGATGAAGGCCTACCATGCTGGGTGGAGGTGGGAAAGGGATAGGCAGATGTCTGCGAGCTGGGCGATGTGAGATCGGTGGGACTGTCGAGCGAGAAGCGTGTCGAGAAGGCCATGGTCGTGGTCGAGGCTGCTGGAGTGCTGAGTGTCTCCCAATCCGTCTATTGCCCGCCGTCGGCCGCATGAGTATTTCGGCCGAACGTCGGAGTTGACCAGGCTAGATGGATATATCACGCAATGCGACGGCACTGGATGGTGAATGGGCGGCATATCATAATATTTCCTTCACGGCCTCATCGAAGTCTCACATGCTGCAGCTGCGGCTTATTGAGAGCTGGCTGGACGGAAGCGAAGCGAGATCCCCGTCAACTTTAGTTCTACTGTATCGGCGTTTCGGGCGCCGACATCCATCCACTTTACGCGAGCTAGGCGCGTCGCGTCAAAGACAGCGCGTTTCGTTTCCGCTGCCAGTGCCCTGAGCCCTCTTTTCGGAGCCCACTCTACATCCTACAACACCTACGATCAACGACTTCAGCTTGCTCCGGAAACCGACTCCAGGACCCTAATAAGCGACGCTTCATGATCGGTCCAATTCTCGTGGGAGAGATAGTTGCATCAGGGCTTGTCATCCTTACCGTTTAGGGCGTCGGTATAGGCTTCGCGATCCATTCCCTTCGCAAGGAATACAAGACTCGCAAAGAGTTGCAAGATCCTGAGCCTGGCTTTGACCTTGATTCCATAACCGGACGGCTTCTGTCGGAATCCGAATTGGCGGAATACGAATCATCGACGACACAAGATGGATCGACAGTCGGTATATACCCTGAGCCTCTTCGGGGAAGAGCGTTCAGCGGACGGCGATCAGACGAACAAGCAGACACAGAAGGAGCTGATAGCCTTCATTCTCGAGTTTCACTTAGACGGCGTCTACACCTATCGGTATATCATCCCACATTATCTTTGGCAAGGCTGCTGTTAATGTGTCCGCAGAGATCAGATAAGAGAAAACGTGCTCTCTAAGCAATATTACTGCGACATCGACATCGCCCACCTCATTGCCTTCAACGAAGAGCTTGCAAACAGACTTAACAATGAGCCTGCCGATATCATACCCATCTTCGAATCGGCTCTCAAACAGTGCACACAGCGCATCCTCTATCCCTCACGAAGCAAGGAAGATTCCGAAATTTCCAAGTCTCTTCCAGAGCATCAACTACTCATCCACTCCTCCGTCTCCCAGACATCGATCCGCGGTCTCACAGCCACCAATGTCTCTCACCTAGTCCGCATACCAGGCATCGTTATCGGCGCCAGCACCCTCAGCTCGAAAGCCACCACCGTGCACATCCAATGCAGAAATTGTCAGCACGAGCAAAACATCCCCGTCACATCGGGTTTCTCCGGCATCACACTTCCGAGAACTTGTGGCAGAGTAAAAGAACCTAGTGATGGCGAGAAATGTCCACTCGATCCATACTTTGTCGTTCATGAAAAGTCACAATTCATTGATCAGCAAGTGCTGAAGCTGCAAGAGGCGCCTGATGACGTACCGGTAGGAGAGCTGCCGCGACACATTCTGGTGTCGGCAGATCGATATTTGGCAAACAGAGTCGTGCCTGGTACGAGATGTGTGATCATGGGTGTCTTCAGCATATATGCAAGTCAAAAGAACAGCAAGAACAGCGGAGCCGTGGCAATCAGAAATCCATACCTTCGAGCAGTCGGCATCCAGACCGATCGCTCGCACAAGGGCAGCGGCATGGGAATCCAGTTCACAGATGAGGAGGAGCAAGAATTTCTAGAGATGTCGAGAAGACCAGACATATACTCGCTCTTCGCAGACTGCGTTGCACCATCCATCTATGGCAATTCAGACATCAAGAAGGCAATCACTTGTCTGCTGATGGGCGGCAGCAAGAAGATTCTACCCGATGGTATGAAGCTGCGTGGAGATATCAACGTTCTGCTCCTCGGTGACCCCGGTACAGCCAAGTCGCAGCTGTTGAAGTTCGTCGAGAAATGTTCTCCCATCGCTGTCTACACTTCTGGAAAAGGTTCTTCAGCAGCCGGTCTCACAGCGTCGGTGCAACGAGACACCAACACCCGAGAGTTCTACCTAGAAGGTGGTGCTATGGTCTTAGCAGATGGCGGTGTGGTCTGTATTGACGAATTCGACAAGATGAGAGATGAAGATCGAGTAGCCATTCACGAAGCCATGGAGCAGCAAACCATATCTATTGCAAAGGCAGGCATCACGACTATTCTGAACTCGAGAACATCAGTCCTCGCCGCAGCCAACCCAATATTTGGACGATACGATGACCTGAAATCTCCTGGCGAGAACATTGACTTCCAGACCACTATTCTGTCCCGTTTCGATCTCATCTTCATCGTCCGAGACGATCACGACCGAAATCGTGACGAGACAATCGCCAAGCACGTCATGGGCATCCACATGGGCGGCCAGGGCGTACAGGAGCAACACCACGCCGAAATCCCTGTCGAAAAGATGAAGCGCTACATCTCCTATGCCAAATCACGATGTGCACCGCGACTATCTCCGGAAGCTGCAGAGAAATTGAGCTCGCATTTCGTCAGCATCCGACGACAAGTGGCGAGAGCAGAACAAGACGCTAACCAGAGATCTTCCATTCCGATCACGGTCCGTCAACTGGAGTCTCTCGTCCGTATCACCGAATCTCTGGCCAAAATCGAGCTTCAACCCATCGCTACCGAGAAACACGTCGATGAAGCGATCAGACTGTTCTTAGGCTCAACCATGGATGCTGTCATGTCTGCGGGCGGAGACACTTCTGCTCTCGGTATGGGTGGAAATCGCGAATTGGTCGAGGAAGTCCACAAAGTCGAGGAGGAGCTGAGACGGAGGTAAGAAGTCGTGACGAACCCTTATAATTGAAGACATCATGCTAACTGATATCGTTTCAACAGATTGCCTATCGGTTATACGTCTTCTCTGGCCACACTTCGTCGTGAGTTTGTGGAACGCAAGAATTACAGCGAGCAGGCTCTCAATCGCGCACTCCAAGTTTTGGTGCGAAGAGAAAGCATACAGTTCCGGAGAGGTGGCACGCTTGTTCATCGGAGTGGTGTGTAAGGGAGGAGTCACTGTCGGGATGAAGGTGATGAGCAATGCTGTTCAGGATCCGGCGTGTATTTGGGCATGCACGCCACGTTGTGTATGGAGTCTTGGGAACTGTGATGATACCATTTGCGAGATTGCGAAGGCGAATGAATTTGATCTTTTCTCTCGACCTTTTTCATTTTCGCCTAGCTAGGCAGCAATGAACGTCGTGAGGTTCCCGATTGTCGTTATCGTGCGAGTAAACTGCAATACAGTACGCCCAGAAGGATATTTCTCAATTGCAGTCGGAAAAGGATCGGTGTCAAGAAGCAGGAACAAGGGCTGTCCGGTGGAAGAGAGTCTTTGTGAACAAAACTTCTAAGCATAGTGAGAGCAAATTGGGACCTCTACTCGCTCATCCCCAGCTAGCTATATCGATGTTCTCATAATATATTTTGCCGCCGCCGCCTCACCACAACACACATCCTCCATCCGTTACCTCAACTGACTATAAGCAACCACCGTGCCACGACAAGAAGCGTAGAAATTCTTGACCAAATCTCTAGTCTTCCTCGTATCACCTCTCACACTGAGTAGAGCGGCGACAAAACGACGTTTCTCAGCCTCATCGTCAGCACTAGGATTGGCCGGCGTGATCTGGGAAAGTGCCGCTTCCATCCAAGTCTTAGAAGCCGGCTGAGTTGAAATTAGCGCTTTGAGCGGTTCGCACAGTTGTTCGAGTTCGCTGCGTTGACCACGACCCGTGATTTGATTCATGAGTGCTTGGGTCAGAAGAGGACCATAGGCGATAACGGCTTGTGACAGTCTTTGTCTGATCGCTTCGTCTTTTGGTGCAGTGGGAGGTTTCACGAGGTTTGCCCAGAAGTCACAAGCTGCGCGTTTGGGCATGAGGTCTTGGCCGTCGAGAGCTTTTAAGGCGAAGTTTAATACGAGCTGTGTGGATTCGCCTGTGCCGGAGGCGTCGAGGAAGATGTGGGTGTAGCGAGGGTTCATGCGGTTGAAGACGTCGATGCAGCCTTGTGCTACTCCGGGATCTTTGGTGGGGTCCTGTAGGGCCTGGACGAAGGTGACTACATGCTGGTAGATGTCGGCGACAACATCGTCGACTTGTGGCTGGTCTTTGCGAGAGTATTGGAGGACTAGTGTGCCTGTCATAGACAGGACTGTCTCGACGTTGGGTGTATGAATTGAGCACGTCTTCAGGAAGGCGACGGTGTAGGAGGGCGGAAAGACGAATGGACCAGGCTCCGTCTCTGCATAGCCGCTCCTGAGAACTTTGCAGATGCCTTCTACGACCTCGCTTGAGGACGGGAGGAGTTGTCGCACGTTCTGACAGCTCGCCAAGATTCGGTTTTGAATGGCCAGGCCGTCCTGTGAGAGCCAAAAGCTTTCCTGATCCTTGGGCTTGATTTGGTCCTCGTAGAGGTCGATTGGCGTGTCGTCCTCTGATTGCAAATTCTTTCCAATGGCAGCCAGGCACTCGATGGCCGATGTGCCAAAGACATTGGCCATTTCTGGGTTTGACTGCTGTCCGAACTGTCGTGCGCTCGCGATCATGCCGTCGACAATATCAAGTAGTGAACTAAGAGGTCCTGCCTTGGCTTGGTCTGGTGTGACAGCTTGTATGATCGCTGCAATAGCACCAATGACTTTCTCGTTGGTGTACGGCTCGCTCGTCTCGCTTTGAGCGAAACGATTGTATTGTGCCAAGAAGCCATCAAGCTCGCCCGTCAGACTACTTCGGCACGTAGAGCACAATGAAGCGATAGACTTGGCAGCACTGAGGTATAGCCCTTGGTTTTCGAGAGACGCGAACAGAAATCGAAGCGTATCTGGCAGAAATTCTGCATGTCGCTCGATGTACTGACCGTAAGCGCCCAATGTGTCAACAGCTGTTCGCCGTGCCTGAGTTGGCATTGAAATGCTGAAGTCGCCGACGATGCGGTATAGTGGCGAGCGGAAGATTGCAAGAAGCATGTCTTCTGCAGCTTGCTCTTCAAGGACGTTGTCGGCAAGGGTGTTGATGCAAAAGAGCACGGCTTCCACATCCTGCCAATTTTGTGATTGGAGGGCGTTCAGAGCCAGGTTGATCAGTTGCTGCAGCATGCCACTCCCTAGAAAGACATAGATGGACAGCATGAGGTCCGATGCATCCATGCGGAACTCTTTGAAGCCCTCCGATTCTGCGTCTGTCCATTCTTTAGCTACCTCGGCTTCCGGGGTCTTCATCTTCTGCCACAAGAGTGCAGTTAGATTGGTACAAGTCGCCTTTGCTTGGCCAATCCAGGGCTGTTGTGTCTCAGTGCTTGTGTTTGGATATGTCACATCGTTGACATATTCGATATAGGTGTTCCAGAACTCGATGGTATGTATGGACACTTCATCTTCATCTCCAGGATAGCCCGGGGCTTGGAGAATTGCGAAAATTAGCTGCAAGGTAGTACTATTCTGCTCAGGATGCTCCACGATTTGTTGTATATTAGCGATACCATGCGCTATGACGAGCTGTGCCACGGGAAGCACCTCGGGCTCCATATCCTGAAGACCTTGCAACAGTCGGGACTGCACGTGCTCTTGTATCACTGTGCTGATGACATTCATATGCTGAGGCTGGAAGAAGCTGGTGTAGCTTTCGAGAATGTCTCTGAAAACGTCCATTGCTTCGGACTGGAGCAAGTCGTCCGTCAGTAGACCCACCAAGGGAATCACGAGCCGTCGGAGATACTGGAGAGCGTCCGGCTTGCCTGGCCACATTGGCTGAGCGTAATTGACCCAATTCAGGAAGCACACCAAGCTCTCTGCCTTGACTTTACCGGAGAGTGGTGTTATAGGTCGGTCTAGGGCAGAGCGCATAAGTCTGCTTGCATCTTGTACGAGCTGCTCCATCTGATCATGCACCTGTGCAGATGCAGGAGTTGTGGTGTCGACTTTCGTGGCGTCAGTCGCCAACTGTCCACAGAGCTGGAGCATCATAATGAGTTGAGATTCAGTGAGAAGGGGTAAAAACTGGTCAAGTGCATCGTGTGCCGCTGGCAGCTGTTCGTCCTGCAGCGCATCGCCCTGCTGAAATGATGCAGCGAGATGCAGAAGTGGCCGATTCCATGGCACTGAAGACCTGAGGAAATATGTTCCTAGGGCAGCGCACAGCTTTTTGCGAACGAGGTCTCCTTCGCCAGCGCGTTCAAGGCGGACCTGCTGGAAGTGAGCTATCAGCACACGCGGACTGCACGTTCCACATACCGTCCATGAGACCAATCTCGTCAATACAGCATGTGCTGTTGAAGCGTCAAGCTTAGTCCTAAAGCTGAGAATGAGCGCAGAGTCTCACCATAGCCTCATCTCAAGGTCGGGATACTGACCCATCATTGTTGAGTTTGATCTGAAATGTCAAGGCCGCAAAGAAGCGGACGTTCTGGTCTGGGCTTGCCAGCAATGCATCTGCAAGCTGCCAGCCCTGCGGCGAATGTTGCAGAAGCTTGAGCTGATCATCGATGGCGGTAATGACTGTTGGCGTGCCGGGAAGGTACAGGCGTTGGACAAGCTGTGCGGTCGTCAGCGTCGGGGTCGGTGTCGGTGTCGGGGTCGGTGTCAGTGTCAGGACTGCTGGTGCAGCGATTGGTCGCATACCTGCTCAACCTCGTCAACGCTTGTTGGCGCGGCGATGGCTCCGTTGTCCATCATGGGCTTCGACGACTCGCGTCACGCCATCTGAGGCATTGCAAGCTTCGATCGGCACCTCAGACGCGATCAATACGGCCACAGCAAAGGCGCGTGGATCGCCGCGAGATGTACGAAGAACGGGGAAGCTTGCAGTCAGTCGGCCGTCGACGCAGATGCGACGTTGATTGCTCCACCACGTGAGTAGTCTCAGGTGCACAGACCGCCTTGGCACGCTATTCCCCTTCGGGGGCGATGCCGTAGGCAGTCTAAGGAAGCATCTAGGGGTTCTAGTAGATAGATCTTAGCTATATAATGAACATTATCAAAACAGCTGAAAATGGGTATTTCTAAGAAGTCTAACGTTATCTAATAGAGTGTCTAGTAAGTAGAATAGCGGAAAAGTGCCTCTCTATAGTAGAAATTAATACTAAAGGCATAAGGGGGTACTAGGGTATCTAGTGATTAAATTTAAGTAGAGAGTAGTATATTTCTAAGAAAACAACGCTTTTTAGAAGCCTAGAGGGCTCTTAGATAGATTAGAAGTATATAGTCTAAGCTAGAAAGTTAAGAAATCAAATACTAGAAGCACGCACTCTAAGCTAGAAAACTAAGAAATCAAACATTATAAACTCTAGAACAGCAAACCTAGAAGCCCTAGATATATATAGAAACCCCTAACCTTACTAGACGCTAATTAGTCGCTCTTAGTACTACCGTATATCGCTATTATATCGCTAGAACTATTACGCTAATAGTCTAGCTTATTAGTATCTTCTCTAGACTAATCTAGCTTATACTGCTTAATAAGGGCTAAGCAGTCCTAAGAAGCTTTATTAAAAGTATGCTTAAGGCGTCTAAGGACTCTAGGGCTACTATCGTCTAAATTAATAGCTATAGGAACTATTATTATTAAAGTGCGCTCCTTCTAGTAGTTAACTAAGGAGTCTAGTAGATTAATGAAACCTATCTCCCTCGGATAGAGAGTAGGTGCTAGATCTACTAGGCTCGCTAGACGCGGTAGATCGCGTACGCGATTAAGGTTAGTAGAGGAGATAGTATCTAATATACTAGACATATTAAAGGGCGCGACTAGCGCCCTTGCAGACCTCCCCTCCTACTTAATCTTAGAGTTATGCTTACGGCTGCTTAGAGCCGTATATTTAACCTTTAGGGCGCCGAAGACAGTAGAATTAGAGTATCTAGTAATACTACCTAGGTTTACGCAGTTTAGACAGCCGCGCTTCTAGACAAAGTCTATCTCCTCCTTATCGTTACTAGGCTCCTTAGCTATCCGGATATAAGGGCACTCGATAAAGAGATTGTTCTTCGGCTCTATCTTAGTACCGTAGGCTATATAGCGGGCTTTAGGCGTTGTCTAGTCTTATAAGCAGAGATCGCCCGTAGGATCTGCCGTAGGTATATAGTAGCCCTAGTAGCAGTACATTACTAGACAAGCTAGACGGTAGACTAAGGTATAGGTCTTAAAGGTAGTACCCTACCTAGAGACGAAGATTCTAGTATATATAGTAGAGCGAGGCTTAATCTTATAGTTTTTATCTGATATCTAATAGACGTTAGCGATCGTTAGATTCAGCTTTAGGCCGTTCGGACTATTCTTCGGAAGTATAGCATTTAGCGCCTTAACGGCCTAAATACTAACCTAGCGGGTTCGATAGCTCTACTAGGCTCTAATCTAGCGCTTATAGAACTCGTAGTACTCGTCCTTATCGTTAAAGCTAACGGTCGCCTTGCTAAACTAGTCGTCCTAGATAGTATCGAAGAGCCGCCGCTAGTTCTTATCTTTTATCCTACCGCTATAGTCTAGATTAGGTAGATAGGCTAGCTTAACTAGAGGGACGTATAGGGCAGCTAAAGCAGCTAAAGAAGAGGAAGCCTTCGGAGGCATAGTAACAACTTGCTAGTAATAGATTAGCTTATCTCTAAAAAAGTTAAGGTAGACTAAGCCGTTAGATAGCCCTTTAGGCAGCTTAAACTTACGAATAGAAGTAGAGATACTTTAAAAACTTAAAGTCTTAAAGAAGTATTAAGTGCTAGCGCGACTAGAGCGCTGCTAAAGCTTCTAAAGTGGCTATAATAGTATAGAGGCTAGAGGGACAGTCTAAAAAGGTGTCTAAGAAGGCTAATAGTAACTAACTATACTAAAGGTTAGTTAGTAGTAGTAGAAAGAAGAGAGGGTTAACAATCGAATTTAAGGTTCCTTAAGAACACTAGAAGTATACCTAACCGCCTAACCGGTAAGGGTAGCTACTAGGCAGCGGCGGCGGCGTAAAGGGGTAGTGTAACGTATCTAGGTAAGCTTCGCGCTATTAGATAGGTTAGGCGGCGGTGTACATACGCGCCTAATTAAAACTAGTAAGGGGACAAGTAAAGGAGCTAGCGGAAGGCGCTAGTAACGATCTAAAGGCAATCTAAGCTTGCGGAGAGCACTAGCGGCGATAAGATAATGCCTGGATTTGCTAGACAATAGTAGGGTATTCGCCCCGAGAGGAGCAGGTTATTAGGGAATAATTATTAAAAGTCTAGAGCTTTAGATAAATAACTGAAAGCTCCCCGTTAAACCTAGTTCTTCTAAGGACTCTCCTTCTAGTTTACGTAGTTCTAGCTCTTTATCTCGATCGAGATCGCTTCTATCGTTTGCTAGGCCTATTAGACCGGGCATAAGATTAGTCTCTACAAAGCGCTTTAGACTAGGGTTATCTAGAGGATCTAGGAGGGCACCTTCGATATTATAAAGTGCCTAATCGGGCCTAACAAGTCTTTCCCGCTACTAGACGACGTTCTCGTTAAATCTGTCTAATCTAGACACGCTATTAACCTCCTTTATAAGATTCGTAACGCTAGTTGTAATCAAATCTATAGCGTAGAAAGGAAATTCCTAATATTCTAGAACCTAGAGCCTAGTCTAGAGCGTCTCCTAATATAGGATATTTGCTAGATCGTAGATTTCTTCTATCGCCTTTCGTAAGGCGTGTTTCGTATCCGTTCTCTTACTAAACCTAGCCTCTATCTAGTTACGCAGATAGCTAGTAAAATTGGCTAGAAGGGCATATTCTTCTAGATTCTACTCGATGCTAAATGCTCTATTTCGCCTAGAATTTAGCAGATTCTTTAGAAACAAGTTTAGCTATTCGTTAGCTCGATCAATCTTAAACTAGCTATCTTCTCTCCCTACAAAATTGACTAACCTATTAGCTAGGATTGCCCTCTAAAGCTACTAATCCGCTACTAGACCGTCTAATAACTACTTTATCTATAGCATAATAAAAGCGTAGTTTTTATATAATCTAGCGTAGAAGATAAGGATATAGCGGTCGATAACCCGCCTAAGAAGGCTAATATTAGCGTACTTAATAGCATAGCACAGTAGTTAATATGTCTTAGCAACCTAGATAAACCTAATGTTCGTCTAGCGCTCCTCGTTACCTCGTAGATCTAGGCGCTATATAGGCTTCCTCTTCTTCTTCTTCTCTAGCTTGTCGGACGTATATCTAATAGGCTGCTAGCAGTACTTCGCTTTAGCTAGGTCTTCTACGGGATCGGTCGTCTAGGAGGTCTAGGCGGCCTTAGAAAACGCTAGTTTATATATCTTATCGACTAGGCGAAGGAAGGATTCTACGTTATATTAGCCTAGAAGCTTACTAACTTCCTCTCTAGAGGCATTCTAGACACCTAGGATCTTATATAGGAATGCTAGTATTCGAGCCGTAAAGCTGTCTATTGCTAGACGCTCTAGATAGCTATATAGTAGCTAAAATAAAGGGCAGATCTTCCTTTCTATTAATTTGCGGTATATAGAAAGTATAGACTTACTCTCCGTACTATCTAGTCTATTAAAGTTATTGCAGATAGCCTGTATTAGACACATTTTCAGATAGAATAGTCCTAGTATTAGTAGTAGCTATATTAACTTATCGAATTCGTCGTCGTTCTATATAGCGTCTTTCCGGAAAACTCGTATATTCTAAATAGATTTCTGATCGCTATAAACTAATCTAACGTATCTAGATTAGTTATATAGTAGAATATTATGTCCTTTATTAAGCGAGCGGTAGTAAAGAATTTGTTAGAGGCTATACGTAATTGGTATATAACTAGCTCGAGTGAAGCTAGGGTCTTAGTACCTTAGATAGGGCTTGGCGCTTAGCGTTAGGCTAACTAGCCTACCTTCCTCCTTCTCCTCCTAGTTCTCTATCGAATACTACTCGTACCTACTACTACCCTATCTACCTGCTAATATACCCTTCTTATATAGTATTCGATCTACCCTTTAAGGGCAGTAGCTAGATAGTCCTTATTTCAAGCTTTTAGCGGTATAGCTACGAAAAACTATCGATTTAACTATATTACGCCCGAAGAACGGGACCTATACGTACCATTCTACTAAAACAACCGTACCAATTATTAAGCAAGGCCTTCTATACGGCCTATTACACTAAGTTAAGCATATTAGGCCGATACTCGCTAATTCCGCTATATCCGCACTATAAGGGGCTATAATACATTATTAGTACTACCCCTTATTATAATAGCCGGTTTATTACGAAGCAACAACAACCGTACTGCCGCTAGTAGCGCTAGCAATAACAACGCTAGTAGCATAGTACCTGCTAAAGTGCCTACTAAAGCACCTGCTAAAGTACCTACTAAAGAGCCTACTACTAGGCCTACCGAAGAACCTATAGTTCTAGGCGACGATCTAGAATTGCCTGTTAACGACATTCTTAACAATATTGTTAATCGACGATATAGCTAACTAGCCTTTAGGCCCTAGCTAGTAGCGAGACTTTAGGAAGCTACCTAAAACAGGCTCGCTACTCTACGCTAAGAACAATAGCTAAAGGATAATCTCCTTAAGATTCGTCGCCTTTAGGAGGCCCTAACAACTAATACTAAGCCGATAGTAGGGCCGTCCTTACTATTAGTCCTAGTCTAGAAGAAGGATGC